ACGGCTAGTAAATATGGCTACTGCTACCGTACGCAAAGTCAGAGATGCGGCTATCCTCAAAGCCGACTCGTCTCGTAATGAAGAGACAACAGCATGGTGTAATCGAGATTTAGTTCCTCTCCCTCCCTCCAGAAGAACTTGGGGGTGGTTTAACTTTTTTGGTGCACAGTCTCTGTATGTTGCTCGTCTGCTTGCCTTATTGACTTGCATCGTCTTACTCACCTGAACATACACAAAGTGGCGCTTTGAATGTAGCAACTTGGCAAACGCCCAATACCTTCCTAACCCAAGGCCTTTCTGTAGGCCAGGCCATGGCTATCATCGTGGTGTCTCGATTCATCGTATCTCTTTTCGCTTGCATCATCGCATGGTGTGGTTTGACCTGGCACATTGGTTTCACCATTCAGAATCGATTCACTTGGGGGATGCGAGGCGCATATATTCCTCTGCTTCAGCGTTGTCTATTGAACTTCATTTGGAACGCGATCCAGTGTAAGGCAATCGCCATATGTTCCCGATTCCTTAATATCTAAGCTGACTTGACTTTTCCAAGGCTGGAATGGTGGGAAACTCCTTACGTAGGTCTCAAGCGTCTGAATGGCTTTTGTGTTGGGATTCAGCTGACCGATGAACATCAGTGTTTGCTTAACAGCATTATGGCCATCTTTCAAGCAGATTAAGAACACTCTGCCCGACAACGTGCCGACAACAACTTCTGAAATGGTGGGCTTCACAGTGTTCTGGCTCATCTCCTTTCCGTTCCTGTTCATTAGACCAGAGAGATTCAAGAAGCCATTCTTCATCTCCAGCGTCGGCTGCGGTGTTGCCATGTTGGCTATGATGATATGGTCTCTGGCTGTCGCAAAGGGAGTCGGTCCGGTATTCTATAAAGGTGAAAGTATTTCCTCGACATCGAGATGGAGCGTGTCTTGGTTGATGATGGCTGGCTTAAACCAAGCGATTGGCCAGAAGGTTGCAGGAATGGCCAACGAGAGCGACTTCTCCCGTTATTCGAAAGACCACATGGCTTTTGTTATTGGAACCGTCTCTGTTCAATGGATTGTTGGTATTTTTGTTTCGTTAGGCGGTCTCGTTACCACAGCCGCATGCCAAATCATTTACGGCAAGATCTGGTGGAACCCGCCCGATCTCATGATGGTGATGATGGATGGTAAGTTGGTATTCACCCAGCTGTGCACATCTCAAATTCTAACATTAGAATTCAAGACGGTAAAGGCTCGTCCGGAGCACGTGCTGGAGTCTTCTTTCTTGCTCTAGCTTTCACATTCGCCATTCTCTTCCAGAACGTGTGTGGAAATGCCGTTGCTGGAGGCATTGATTTGGCCGGCGTCTTCCCCAGGTATATCGATATTCGCCGCGGAGCGATTATCACATTCCTCGCAACGTGGATTATCCAACCATGGCAGCTCATCAATCGGGCTGCCACATTTGTAACCGTTCTCAGCTCTTTCTCCGTCTTCCTGGCTCCTCTGCTAGGTGTCATGATATGCGATTACTTTTTTATCCGCCATCGAAAAGTCCGTCTCAATCATCTATACCACCCTGAGAATTCCGATTATTGGTTCACTCATGGTGTGAACTGGAGAGTTATTCCTTGTTGGATAGCTGGTTGGGCGCCTACGATTGGGGGTTTGATTGTGACTGTTGGGGGTATGAGTTCCGCACCGGATGCCCTCTTTCAGTTGTACTACACTGCGTTTTTCACCGGCCTCTCCATATCGTTTACGCTTTTCTATGCTGTTAACCTTATGTTCCCCATCAAGGGGGCCGGGGAGTTTGATCCATACGATGACTGGGCAACATTCACTCCTGGAGAGGCCGCCAAGTTGAATATTATTCCCAATGACAATGCCGAAGAACTACCCCATATTCGCTTGGGGGCCTCCGGATACGATCCTGATTCTCAGCCAAGTCGGCAAGAGCTGGGCTTGAAATCATAACTTGCCGGCTCGAGGGAGCCCGTACTAGCCCCTGCCGTGGGAAGTGACTGCTGGATTTGAGAAGCAGTTAATAGTACACAGTCACGACATGAGTTAAGTTCTGCAACAGTTAAGGATGTTTTGAAGATTACAGGCTAGGGAACTCTCTGATACTTAGCCAGTCTACTAGTGATAAGATGACAACAGGACAGTTATTCCTATCACGAATGATTTCCTTGGAAAAGGATGGCCGTTGCTAAAGCTATTTTGAATAAACCTTACACTAACTTTGCAAAATTACTTTCAAATGCTCTCCATCGTGCTTTTGACTGAGCCCAACTATATCGCCCCAATAAAGCTGAGAATTAATAGGCAAATCTGACTCAGTGGCCGATGCATACCTTAGAATTCCCCCAACCACCTGATGGACATCCAAAGCATTTGCATATAATTAAGCACAAGTTGAGATAGCTTCGTATTATCCTCATGCCTGGCATGAAGGTATGGCAGGATGCCGTACTTTCAACAAGAACTGTCTGTCTTCCATCGAGTGCGCCCTAAATCTAGAACTACTATCTCCACTTCAATGAGTTTGAATGCTAGCTTCTGCGGTGCTCTTCTAGGTCATAGACTCAATTTCTTTGTTAATAATTATTATTCTTCTTCTTCTTTTCTTTGGTGGACGTTTGGTCGGAGTTCAGTTATTTGCTAACGTGCCCATTATTGACTGCCACGAGTTAAAGAAAAAGTGCCGGCCACCAGGACATTTATATCAATAGCCGCATCTATAACTGACACCACAAGGATACATGAAACCGAACAGAGAAATTAAGTGTAAAGAATCTGCCTCTCGCGTGGACAGCTTGCTTATGCCGTCAAGTGAACGGTTTAGGTCCACGGCAATATATATTTGCTGTAGAGTCTAGGGTAGCCGGAGCGGCTCAACATCATCACTTCATAAATCGCGAATGGAATACGTCAATCAATCAGCAGTGACTGAAACGGCCTAGTCTTAAGTAAATAGGCGAAATCACTACGGCTGATCAAATTTAAAGTTGCCTGTTCCTTTTGGCCGCTTCGTCTCTCTCAGAAAATTTTGCGCGGTAAGCACGGCACTCCCTTTCGCATTGTTGGTGGGGTAGACGCATAAACTCATTGAGGTAAGATATACGGGTAATTATAGGCGCGTTTTGCAAACCGATGGCGTAATTCTCTCTTCCAAAGTCGTGCTCGTCCGTGTGACGCCTTTTATTCGGCCGAACAGAGCCAGCTCCATACTTGGGGCTATAAAAGCTTGAAGATACAGCTGCTGAAATCTAAGACCGCGAGTAGAGATCTTCAGAGCCACACGAAGGTAAAGTACGATACTCGCGAATATGTCTGCAGCCGCCGTTGTAACCAACCTACCGCCACCCGGCCAGCCCGATATCCAATATGCACCCAACTTTCAAAAGTGGCAAGCTCGCGCCTCATCCCGAGTGAAGAATGAAAACCTGAAAAAAACTCTCCCTGATGGTTTTCCAACTCAGCTGAAAGGGAATCTAGTTTGGGATGGCGACTCCGTAGCCAAATCGTATGATTGGGTGTACCAGCTATCGACTGACGAGCTCAAGGAAATCGACACCGCTGTGGCTCACTTCAAAAGTAAGTTGGAAACAATCAGGGAGCCACGAAACCCATCGTCAAGCCTGTCCTTTCTAACAAAAATAGCACTGGGCAAGCCGCTAGCCGAAATCTCTGCAGAGACCTTCCCACTTCCCAACCTGCATGCAAAGCTTCGCGGGCTCTCTGATGAGCTACACTCTGGACATGGCTTCTTTGTTATCCGTGGAGTTGAGGTGGACAAGCATACCCGTGAAGAAAATGTCATGATCTACACGGGACTGTCCGCTCATATCGCCGCTCAGCGTGGTCGTCAGGACCAGTGGTTTGACGGCAAACCTGCCGACGTGGTTCTTACCCACGTGAAAGATTTTAGTCGATCAAACATCTCAAAGAGCATTGGAAGCCCTGCATACACGACGGACAAGCAGGTATTTCACACGGATTCTGGTGCTATTGTAGCCCTCTTTGCATTGGAGTCGGCAGTTGAAGGAGGAGCAAGCAAACTGGCGAGTACGTGGCGGGTCTATAATGAGATCGCCCGTACGCGCCCGGATCTCATCCATACCCTCTCGCAAGACTGGGATGTCGAAGTGTAAGTCTCCTATCCTCCGAAGCCCATGTTGATGCGATTTACAGTTGCTAATGAGCTTATGAAAGCTTTGACAACCCCAACAAGAAGTACACAACCAGGCCGTTGCTTTACTATCAAAAACCGACGGGCTCGACTCCGGAGCGAGTTATCCTGCAGTACGCACGCCGATATTTCGTTGGATATGGGGCATTGCAACGTAGCAGCGATATCCCCCCCATTACTGAAGCACAAGCGGAGGCTCTGGACACCCTGCACTTTCTTGGTGATAAGTTCTCGATCTCAACCGATTTCCAAAAGGGTGATATTCAATACATCAATAACACCGCTATCTTTCATGCCAGAGATGCCTTCGTTGACTCTTCTGATAAGCAGTAAGTAACTATTCTTCTAATCTTTGTCTAGACAATCAGATATTGGCATTGTTGCTAATGTAGGTCCTCGGTTAATTAGGAGGCATCTTGTAAGATTCTGGCTCCGAGATCCGGAGAATGCATGGGAAACACCGGCACAACTACAGGCGCGCTGGGCCGAACTTTATGATGGAGTCACCTCTGAGAAGCAGGTTTTCCCTCTGGAACCTTATATCCGCACCGCTGGTCACCAAAGGAAATAAAATATACAGTGACTTTTCATCTCGAGAGGTTAATTTCACATTTTTGAAAAGCCAGAAGATATACTGTGACATTTTGGTGGGACAACATTAGCCTTTCGTAACGCCACTGGGGCAAAGTTCGATGCTATCTATTGCCCTAAACTGCAAGATACGGAACTGGAGTTGATCCAGAGACTTCATCGCCGCACAACTGAGTTAAGAGTTCTCAGAAGTCTAAGAATAAAGCCCTTCCAGCAAAAGCGTGACCCTTTTACACGCTATAGCAAATGTATGGAACCCAATTTGCTGGTTCTGGCCACTGATCCTCCTCTTCTTTAACAGGAATAATATCTCTTGGGAATCTCTGGCGCTCATCAGCTCCAACACTTGCATTGTTTGCATCAAGTTGTTCATCCGTGCCAAATGGAGGGTTGGCTAATCTGCTGGTATGCTTGCACTCTTGTAGTTTGTCTAGCCAACGATCTCGCAACTTGATAGAGGCACAATGAAGCGCTAAGCATACTGACCTATCAACCATGCCCCATCTTTTCAGTCCCTCGTAGGTAATCCTGGCCATGTCTGCACTCAGCTGATCATTGACCTCCCACAACGTTCCAATGACATTTCGAAAGCCTGCTAGTTGGAATCCGCTGATCAGATGAATACTCTCGTCCCAGGACTTATCGTCTCTGATCTGCCCGGTCCCACAAGCCGAGAGGTAGGCGAGAAACGGGGAACGCTGGCGAATATTAGTGGCCAGAAGAGTTTCAACCGTTAGCTGGTCCGTCTTCCAGTCCTGGAGGCACAGATAACTCTGTGCTGGGATCATGCTATCGGAATGTCCGTGTCCAGCAAAATGAAATATGTCGCAATCTGATAGGCTTGCCATGATGGACTTTTTGTTCGGTGCAGGTTCGATGACCTTGGAAGCCATCGATGCACACACATCGTGCACTCCGGCCACTTCTTCAACTGTAAATGGCAGGCTGGTGTGTTCTGGTGTGTTTTCCATGGCGACCAGGACGACCTGCATCGAATCCGAGGACTTCATCCGTGGGCGTTCACGGCTGTAAATCATTGCTTTGACTGAGGAAGCGTACGACGACATCACCCTGTCGAGGACCGTCTGGCACGAGCCCTTGTAGTGATACCCAGCAGCGTGGATTGGAAACCTGCTAATAGCACCTGTGGGAATCCACCATATATGTGGCCAGTTCGTCTCGGCAGAACTGGGGTTGGGTAAAGCCCAGCTCAGTCAAGGCTGGTTTGGTTACAGTATCCCACAGCCACTTCAAAGCCTTGGGACCACCAGGGTTTCCTATCAATGTTCTGCTCGTAATATCTGCGGTGCTGAGGTCTGGCAGGGGTATAGACCGCACCACGTGCGGTTCGATAAGTATCGCGTCACAACGATAATCACTGATATTGATGACAACAATAGGCCCATCTTTAGCAGCGCTACGTACTGCTCCTTCGTTGGGTGCAGCTAAGAATTCTTCAAAACCAGACATGCTGCGTATTTCAGTAATTAAATTGTCGAATTTAATGCCAGTCTCAAAACGACGAGTTGCTTGGGCTTGCTGAGAAAACGTACCACCTTCAACTGATAGTGGTGAGCTCTCCCTCGAGATTGGTAGTTCCAGTTCGTCCCGGAGTCGCACAAACTGTTCCGCTAAGTCCGGGTAGATTTCTTTCAGCTTAAGAAGGTCGATCCGTAACTCTTCAAGAGATGTTGCAAGGACGCCTCGGCCCTGTTCAAGGAAACCCAAGGCGACAAGTGGGAGTTTACCTGCGTGCAATGCTACCGCTGCAGCATCAGAGGCCAAGCCCGCAATCTGTCCCAGTTGGTAATGCTTATCAGAGATCTCGAGCGATCGTATTGTCAGCTTTGAAACGATTGGAATGGCGACTTTGGCAGCCTCATAGGCTCGTTGCCATTCTGCTCTAATAGCGCAGCACCGAATGATTTCTCGACCGGCAGTGACTCGATCGATACTTCTCGCGTCACATTCATTTAGTGTCCCTTCTTGATAAGAAATGGCTTCGTCGAGATCCGTTCCCACCCCCGTCGCGACATATCTGTCCAGCAACCAACTCCCTACCAAGCTCAGATATATAGCTCACCCGCTCTTGTTTGAGGAAGTTGCAGCAACAGCTTGTCGTCCGAGATCAATGGCTTCATCCAAATCGGGTAGTGCCCCTGGTCCAGTGTTGTACTTGTACCTGTTGTGAAGGCTGGATCCAAGATTGAAGAGAAAACTTGGCAAAGCCGCGTGGTCCAGTTGGGTTACACTAATAGCCCTGCGAATGGATTGAATAGACTCCTCTATGTCCGACTCGGCTTTCGTCCTCTGAAATTCGATTCCAAGCAAAGGCCAATGTTGCTTAGGCAACCTGGCCACTGCGAGTGGTCTTCTGCAGTAAATTTGAGAGCCTGCCGAACAAACCCAATAGATTCATCCAGATCATCCAGGCTCTCCGACCTTAGGTGCTTCTCGAGGAGGCTGGCTGACAGACTAGAGAACCACATGGCTCGATTCGGAGAATCGTCTGATATTGCCTGAACAGCATCTTTGCAGGCCTTTATTGATTCGTCAATATCAGCCATGGAGCCAGTTCGCCTATACCTTTCTCTGAACTGCATACCTAGGTTGTTCAACCGGTGTGCCCGTCTGGAGTGGTGTTCATGAGTTGCGTTAAGGCTTTCCTGACCCGACTGAACAGCCGAATCATCGCGTGTCGCGCCTAATTTCGAAGATCTTTCCCCCAACCTGATTGATAGCTTACTTGCTCTTTGAGGCCACAGGGGAAGGTCTTTGGGTGTGGCATCTAGAGCTGCTCGCCCGATTCGAATCGATTCCTCAAGATCCGCAACGGTATCATTTCTCGCATGCACATCCCCGAGTGCTAAGCTAAGATTGTTCGCCGCCACTGCCCAATTTGGGTCGTCCTCGGGAGTCTCTTGAAGAGCACGTCGTGACATTTGAAGTGATTCCTCAAGATCGGATGTCGATCCTGATTTGAGGTATATTTGTCTGAGCGCAACGGCGAGTTTGCTTAGAAGAATGATTCGAGCTTGGCTGTCCCTTCGGGATGCATCAGATGCATCTTGCAAAAAGCGCAATGCCTCTCGAGCGTCTGTAACAGCTGCCGTCCTCTCATATCTGTCCACAAGAGCCCCTCCAAGATTACTTGAGTAAGTGATCCAGTCTACTTGGTTATCCGGGGTAGTCTCGACAGCAACGCGCATAAAGTCTATAGCAGCATCAAGATCGGCCATTGAATCTGCCTGTCGGTACCTATCAATTAGCCCGAGTCCAAGGTTCGATAGTGTTGTTGCCTTTATGGGGTGGCCTTCTGGGACCAAGTTTGCTGCTCGCTGCATGGTTTCGATTGCTTCATCAAGATCAGTTGTTAACCCTGTTCTCAAGAACTTGTCCCTAAACCGAGCTCCTAAATTACTGATCCAACCTACTCGGTCTATATGATTTTCTGGAGCCAGGTACAACGCCTCTGTGATGAGCTGAATCGTTTTTTCGAGATCCTCAGCTACACCAAACCTGACGTATTTTCCCCCAATACTATTCGCCAGACTGCCCACTAAGCCTGGCATGTCCGGGCTGTCTCTCGGGATTGACTCAATAACTTGTTGTTGGATGCCAATCGACTCCAGGAGAGTCTCTAGTGCCCCCGTTCTGAGATATTTGTTCTTGAGGGCAATTCCAAGGCTATACACGATTACTGGTCGATACGGATGGCCTTCAACGGCTATATTTAGAGCTTCCCGGCCGACCTGGATGGATTCGTCAAGATCTTCCTCTGAACTCGTTGCTGCATATCTGGTTTGGAGTCGAATCCCTAGGCTATGTAGTACCGGAAGCGGAGCGGGACAGTCTACAGAGGAGGCAAGCAGGGCTTCTTTTCCTGCATGGATGGACTCGTCGAGATGAAGCAAGTTTCCTGTGTTCAAGTATTGATTGTCCAGTTGCATGAAAGTCCGACATAGACAAATGACACGTTCGTAGCTGTCTAAAGGAAGGCCTTGGCCTGCTTCTTGCGAGTCTGCCATAATGTCGGCTGTTAAATGTAGTTTGTTTTAGCCACCCCAGGGGTTCAGTTGAGTCTAATGAATAGAAGAATAACCCGGCCCAATGTACCTCCAGCTTCATCAAGTGAGCTAACAGGGCTTGTCCGAATTCAACATGGTGTGCAGACTAAAAATTTTCAAACTCCGAATTAAAATCAGATTCTGTGTGTCTGAGGGTTCGTGAAACGTGAGACAACAACTTAACTGGACGCTCAAGCTGCCCAATATTACACAGCCCTAGTCTGTCTTACCTGCGTTATTAGCTAATGAAAATATCATAGTATCTCCGTACTCCTTCGTTTCATTGCCCCAGTGAGTCCAGCCAGAAACTTGTATGGCGTGCCATCGTTACCCTATGTCTGCCTCCCCCTAATATAAAATAAACCCTCGTGATGAGGTTAAGGCTGTCGCATCCTAGTCTTGTACGTGCATTGACCTGTATGGTAACTATATATTGTTTAGAACAAAACAATTTGTCGAGTTTAAAGAGTACAGCTGAGTCTCTGATCAGTACAGGACGCCTCTGCGCCCACCATGATGCAGCTGAAGTTATCGGTTGAATCCGTATAATTTACTTAATCATGACGTGGCTGGCGGATACAGGTTTTATTTTCGAAAAGCGACTATGATCTACAATCCCTACATCTATTAATCAGACAAAGGTGAGACAGGAGGTTGTCTATCAAATTGAAATGACAGTTCAGCGATGGGAGGTTCGATAAATCACTTTAGGGTTTTAAGTCTATAAGCGAACTATATCTCCTTATCTCTTCCCTTCGGAGAAGCAGAAGTGTTCATGGGAGGTCATTATTGGCCCGGCGGTCAAGGGCATTAGGAGGCGCAGTAGGACTTCAAGTAGTATGAATCATGGGAAGCAGGCGACTTATGCTAAGGCAAATGAGAAGTCTCAAGTTTGAATCGCGCATGCGAGGGACTATATCGCCCTCTGTAGCAACCGCCCTTAGACGACCCAGACGTATGCGGATGTCTTGATATGTCCCCGCAGACATTTGGTCAAGTCCGCCAGCGCAATGAAATGCCGACACATGAAAGGGCCACATGTTTCCCCTTTTAGCCGTACACAACGCGAAGGTTAACACGATGGTGTCCCTTGCCACACTAAAATTGCCTTTGTAGCGCTATCACTTCCGGTTCAGCCCAGCCTAGGGCATCACAATGCATCCGAGGCATGTGAGGTTCAAGAGCCTCCAGCACCCTTGCGATTTGCCGTAGCACTAAGATATCATGGAGATGGTTCCATCAATCTCCAACAAATGGGAAGCATCTCTAGAGTCAACGCGGGACAACCAGTGTTAACAAGGCCAGATCTGCTGGGATGACATCGTGCCCGGCCCCAATCGGTTTTCTCCCATTCTAATGGCTCTTCCAGAGCGTCCTCTAGTCAAGTAGCACTCAATTGCATAGAAAAAGACCTAAGCGATCGAACACTTACGACCCAGGATCTTGTTCCCGCGTAGCAAAGGTTCTTTGGATGAAATTCCCAGCTTGGGATGAGACCCCTGCCAGAAACGTGGAGATAAGGTACATTAGTGACGTCTATGCTTCTTTTGACCTCCCTCTTTTGGTACAGACGTGGGGAGTTCCTCATCACCATCCTTGACTAGCTGTCATACCGACTCTTGGCTTCGAGTTGTCATCAACAGTCTGGTCGTACAGGGAGATCCGCCCCCTCACCACCCTTTTCTCTCGTTTTTCTCCCCTCACGCACCTTCACGACTCCGAAGAAGCCATTGCTAGCATCATGTATGGAATCGCCCAAATAGCATCGCGCCTCCCTGCGCTGCTCTCTCTACTTATCGTGGCTGGGGGAGTCTCTGCCGCACAGGCCATTCCCGCTGCCGAGGTCGTCAGCAGCAAATCTCATATCCTCCCAGGCCCTCTACGCGTTACCGAATTGACCTTTCGTGTGCCGTTGGACTATGATGTTCCAGATGGGGAGACCATTACGCTTTTCGGCCGCTCCGTCACTAGCCACAGCGTCCCCATCGTGCCGTCCGATGATGGTGATCAAGAATCGCTCCCCTACATGGTCTATTTGGAGGGTGGCCCTGGATTCGGCGCTCCAGAACCACAGAACGCCCCCTTGACGAGCACCGCTCTCGAGCGCGGGTATCAAGTGCTCTACCTCGACCACCGTGGTACCGGTCATAGCACACCAGTGTCCACCAGAATGTTGGACACGCTGAGCGGTGGCGAGGATGCCAAGGTCAAGTATCTCCGTCTTATGCGTCAGGATAACACTGTTCGCGACTGTGAGGCTGTCCGTAAGGCCTTGACGAAAGGCTTGTCGGAAAATGCGGCCAAATGGTCCATCTTTGGCCAGTCTTATGGCGGATTCGTCAGCATTAGCTACCTCTCTCTCCACCCGGAGGGTTTACGGGAAGTCTTTCTAACCGGTGGCCTGGCACCGGTTGGTAAATCAGCGCAGCAAGTATACGAATCCCTTTACCCGCGAGTCATGAAGCGCAACGAGGCCTATTACAAGAAGTTTCCCGAGGACATCCAGAATGTCCGCCAGATCGCAAGCCACATTCAGGAGCAGGGCGGCAGTGTTGCTCTACCAGCCGGCGGAAGCCTAACGGTACCCCGGCTAATGACCATTGGAATCGACTTTGGTGGCTCTGGCGGCTTTGATTCTGTACACTCAACGATTATGAATATGAAGATTTCTCTGGATCAGTTCGGCTTCCTTTCTCGAGCGTCCCTCACCCCGATGGAGAGGTTTACCACCTTCGACGACAATATCATCTATGCCATTATTCACGAGGCTATCTACTGTGATGGGCCCAACGACGTCTCGAACTGGGCTTCCGATCGGGTTGCTAGAGAACGCAACCTCTTCTCATGGCTTTCCTCTAATGCCTCCATCTCATCCAATTCCAGCGAGCCACTTCTGTTCGCTGGCGAGAACATCTTCCCCTTCTTCTTTGATACTTATCCGGAGCTGATTCCGCTCAAGGGAGTCGCCAATAAACTTGCCGCCGTGGATGATTGGACTCGGATATATGATCAGGAGCAGCTTGCGAAGAATGAGGTCCCTGTTTACGCCGCTACATATATCAACGACCTATACGTCGACTATGAATATGCTAAGGACACTGCAAATCTCATCAAGGGGGTAAAGACATGGGAGACCAATGCAGTCATCCATTCTGGCCTGAGAACAAACACACAGGAAGTCCTAGCGGCGCTATTTAACCTTCGCGATAATGTATTCGATTAGGTAGGGAGGAGATGACGAAACCCGACACCCCCCTGGCCAGACAAGTGTAGCCGCCTGTTTTAGCTAGGATGGGATTGCTCATTCGTTTTCTCATCTCGATCTAACGAGCGGCCCGTCCCAGTGGCGAAGTAGTCTCCGGAGTGAAGGTTTCTTTTAGGCTTTGTGGCTTACAGAGATCATTACTCGCGTCTTCACGTGGCCTATGGAGACTCTCGTGGGTTTCCACCTTAGCTTTGGGTTTTGGAGGCTTCTTAACCTTTCGTATCCACTGTATTAAGGTGCCGACGTATGGGCGAGAGTTTAAGAGTACAAAATAAAAAATAGCAATAAGGTGTCAGCGTATATTATCTTCATTTTTGGCCTTCACATCGTGGGTTGATTCCTTCTTCATCATATAGTGCCTAGAAGAGATCCCAGCTCGTCCGTTTGCGTCTTCTGGTCTATCCATCTCCAAGTCCTCGCGTCTCTCCCGCAAGAAAACCTCACACCGAAACCCTCTTTCATCAACAATGTCTCTTCCAGGAAGTACCCCAGCAGTAGTCAATGCCATTGAACGAGTTTTGTTTTAGTGGCTTGTGTCCCTTCTGGGGATAAGAAGGATGAATCGTGCCTTCGTGATGAATTATGGGATGAACTGAGTGCCATTCGATCCCATGTTCGAAAGGGCATGCGTACCCCGGAGGTGGAAGGGATCAGGGCTTAATAGAAGATAGTTTTGATAATCAGTACTTCTTATTCCCTAAAAGCATAGCGAAAGAGAACGTAGTGAGAGCATAGCACAACCACTTGACAGTAAGGGCCTTTCTTCCCAGCCCCAGGGGAGAGTTTCCAACGGCAGATGGTTCAGGTCTGGTATGTGGTATCAACTGCAGTGATCACTGTCGAGCATCCATTGAAGAAGATGGGTCTTCGCGTGATGGGCGCTGGCCTCTTTAACCAGACGCACTTTGTCCACTCTACCTGGAGCGTGCTAGAATAACTCATCCAGGAAGGCAGCACGCCTCTGGAGCGTGGTGGATCAAACTGTTTGTTCTGGATGGGATGCCGTCTGTGACTCGAGAGAGCATCCTCTTCAACTGCTGCTTCAGACATTCGCTTCATGCGCAACAAGGCTTGAGATCTTCTGAAAGTCTGGGGAAAAGATTCAATGGAAGACTATGTGACATCGCGGAAGAAAAAGAAACAACAGTTGAAAACCAATCACGTTACCCGATTGACAGGATAGCTAGGATGTGAGGTTAGAAATTTCCCATATGGTCAGTCTTCTAAATCCACAGGCATAGGAAGCTCAAGTAGAGGATTAAGCCAGAGCAACCTTCATTAGCATTCCGTCGACCGGCTTCGCTGTAATCTGAATGGTCTAGGTTGAGAGAAGTGGTATTCAGTGTTGCTGCACTCGCTACTTTCGCGTTTGAAGCTGGTAGTTGAGAGAAACTCACTGGATATAGTTCCGACTTGACCTTGTACTGGCCATTATCACCAACCTCCGGCCGACCTCTTGAGTCCAGGTCCAACTCGCCCAGGCCAACTTTGGTGAAGGTATATCTGTAGGCCAGCATGGCGATGACGATCCGCGCCTCAATGTTGGCAAGCTCCTGGCCGATGCAATTCCTTGGACCCCTCTCAAAAGGTCTCCAAGCACTCTGCGGGAATACACCTGGTGCGGCTGTAAAGACTGACGCCTCGGAGGTGGGCGAGCCTCCGGCATGTCTCTGGCCGCCTTGGACGAGCCAGCGCTCCGGCCAGAAGTCGTCGGCCGTGTCTCCGAACACGGCGCGGTCGCGGTGGATAATGGCGTGGTTCAGGTAGATCCAGGCGCCGTCGAGGCAGTAGTCGCCGCGGGACGTGGTGACGACGCACGAGCTTTCAGACTTTGGCATGGTCATGCGGACTGTACTAGCTGGCGGATGTAATCTAAGACACTCTCGTATGACGGCCGAGATGTAAGTCATTTGGTGGATAATATGCTCCCCGCCGGGAGACAGGAGCTTAGTACGGATGGCGCCTGGGTCGTGTGTCTCGGGGCCGAGCAGTGCCGTGACTTCGGCCTGTACGGCCTTGAGAGCTCGGGGGGTGCGAGAGAGCTCGTATACCGCCCAGTCAATAAGGGTACTCGTGGTGTCATGACCTGCAAAGAGGAAGGATTTGAGCTGGTCACACGTCTCATCGAGAACAGCAGGCGAGAGGTGATCGATATCTTGCAAGCTCAGCGCGAGGATCGTCCGAGATGATTGACCGTCTGGGGAACCGGACTTGAGCTCGGTGAATTTGGCACGGACGATAGTCTGCAGCCTCTGGGTGATAAGTCTCCCTAGGCGATGGCGAGTCATATAGATAAAGGGTCTGAGCCACCATGGCAGATGAAAATTGTCATTGGCATGCGCTGTATTATGAATGTCAGCCCGAGACAGTGCAGAAGAAATGGGTGATCGGCTAAACACCTACTCTGAATGAGCTCGTTGAAGATATGGATGAAGTCTCTCTGTCGAGAAGGATCAGGTTTCTGCGCCTCCAGATCGACATCCATAGCAACAGCACCGATGATGTCAAAGGTCAGGCTCGTAGTCAGGTCAGTCAGCCTAAAAACGTCGTCCGCTTCAGCATGCTGATCCAATCGCTCCAAGAATAGCATGCTCTTGTCGAGAATACACGGAAGAAGCGTCATCAGGTGGTTTGGAGCAAAGCCTGGGTTGAATCTTCTGCGAACTACCTTCCAGCTCTCGTTCTGCGGATGACTTGTCAGCTCAAACAAACACACAGCGCGTCGCAGAAACGGTTCATGATGTCATTTCTGTGCGGTCCCAAATGAATGTACTATACCTGACGGTTGAGCATTGATAAGCGACCAATCAGAGGGCCGATGCTTGGTATAGAAGGCGCTTTAGGTACACTATATTGGAATTCCTTAGATGGCCTCGAGATTTGTTCGGCAACTGCATGGTCAGCGATGACGGCCATGGGATGGCTGATGGGTCGCATGTCGATCAAGAAGATGGGAGGGGATCCAAGATCCTTATGCATCTCAGCAATGATTGCATCTTTTGCCAGCTGTCAGTAGGAGGCTGGTGTCGAAGCGGGAGTGTATGAGGGGTATCACCTGGATGACGGTCTTGGGCTCCATGATGAGTGTATTCTTGAAAGAGCCGGAGATGGCCCCAGAGAAGCGATGTGGGCAACTGAGGGAGATGGGCGTATTGCTTGTGCCTCTTCTCGACGAGCTTGGTGTACAAGAATATTGATATTGTGAGTAACGATGCTGCGGCTAACACATGGACTGGATGGTCGATGAGAGAAGACATGGTGTGGTACTACATTCAAAAGCAGATAGACTGGTCCTAAAGAAGTGGGAATGTTGAGGGGACATGTGTTTGGAGTAAGTAGAATGTGGAGGCGAAAGCCGGACTACCTAAAAGGACATATGAAATTAAACAGCACCAAAACAATTGACCAGTGAGCGAAAAGTGCTGCTCCTCAAGCCAACCCGAAGGCTTGCATTGGGTAGGTTGGCTTGGGGGTGTCTGAATGACACCGCATAACGTAACATACTGCACATCAACCATCCATCCTTGCTTTACATTATTGGAAAACAGTGGGTCTAATCAATTCTCATTCACTGATGCAGTGGAAGCAATTGCAGGGTTACTCATCGGTGTTGCCAAATTGGTCTTTGTTCTCGTTGCTTTCAGTGCGGGGAGAGTTGGGTCGGCTGACGTATTTTTCTTGGCCCAAGGATTAGACATATCCGATGATCATTGCGGTTCAACTTATTCTGCTGGTGAGGGGCGAAGGCTCACCTTGACATGCTGTGGTGGCCTTCTTACTCTGGCATTTGGGGCTGAACAAGGCTGGAGGGTCGGTGCTACGGTCTTATGCAGGCATACAGGCATAAGTTTGCTTACATGTGCCACAGCAGGAACCAAAGTACAACTAAGCTTCAAAAGGCTATTCACATCTAATCTGGGGCCGCGGGTCTCTAGCGACTTCTGAAATGTTATTGTTTGTGACCTCTTCCCAATTAGTATGTCGTAACTGTTATCTACAAGGTAATTATACGTCATACCCTACTTGCTTTTCTCGATGCCTCTCATGCATTGTAATTGCACAAATGGTCTATTCATCCTCGAGTGCATTGGTAGTCAGACCTGCTGGTTGCTACCTTCACGGTCCAAGATGTTGGAATTCAGTGAGCCAGTTCTACCGCCGATAGTGACAGAAATCTAAGCGAATTTGACAGCTTCATTTTCAAGTAACTCTACTGCAATACTAATCTAATCGACGAATTCAGATTACACAAAGTAATCTCTCACATAGAAATGAATCCCCCACATATCCTTTGACTACCCATACGGGTAGCCTGCTGAGCTGGTTCCGTTGTTGATCAGACCTCCTTCCGTAACCCGCGACCAGTCCATACGAGCCTTAGTTACATTACCTAGAGTTGAAATAGTGACGTTCACAAGAGTGATATTTTCTACTCCGTAAGGTCTAGGCAGTATCGGTGATCAATGCTTGATAAGGATCTTCCATGGTACAACTTTAAAGAAGGCGGTCGAACCATCCCACGACTTGCTCGGGATGCTCCTGGAACCAGCTGTAGGCATCCCAGCGGCGGTTGGTGCCTGAAATCCAGTACAAGCTCTTATCCTCAACTGGCATGGCGTCGTACACGGACTGTACATCACTAGGCAGTGTGTTGAAGTCGTCGTGAACTTGGTAAACAAAAGTAGGGATCTGGACAAGGCTAGCACTTGGAACCAGCTCATAGTCTTCAAAGCGGAAATTAGTAGCGTTGTAGAGCGAGTCGTCGACAGCTGGCATGTAGTCAAGCGAGATACCGGTAAGCTCCAAGACCCTAGATAGGCGTACCCTAACAGTCAGAGGCTGGGCAAATACCTGGGCCTTGACGCCCTCGAATGCCTCGGGGTGGAGTCTGTATGCATGAAGGTTCGAGTTGGCGCCGACACATTTGCTGAAGAGGCCAATCTTCATTTTCTTGGTGTCTTCGCGGCTGTGGACGTAATTTAGCGCTGCGACCATGTCTTGTGACTCCAGCAAGCCCAAGGTATGAGCATATGTGGAATCGCTATCGCCGTGATTGCGGTACTCGTAGGCTAAGACGTTGTATCCAGCCTTGTGCAGGATCTCGTAGTCGGGGACAAAGTTGACTGCCCAGTAGCTACCAGGAGCACGAGCCTCCTCCTCTGTATACCCGCGGATTCCACCTCGGTTGAACCATCGAGGATGGTTGGCGATGATGAGCTTATCAGAACCCTTCTTGGGGAAGAACCAGGCGGCAGAGGTCACTCCGTCCTCCGAGGTGAAGGTCACATTCTCATATTGAAGGCCAACTTCTTCCGGCCTATGAAGGGGGTGGTCAAAGTTCTGAGTTCCGAGGAACCCGTCACCAATCCCGTTGATGATGGTTTGGATGACGGTCTCGGGAGGGGGGGTCGCGGGAGGAACAGGGGGGTAGGTTCCTGTCTCTTGGTCGCGGGGAGTTCCTGTTTCCTGGCCACTGGCGATTGCCAGCGGCATAAGGAGTAGCGAGGAGTAAAGGGATTGAGAGATCCGCATTTTAGTTCCTTAGGGGGTCCTCTGGTGTGTAGATTGAGTTCTTTTGGGATATAATTGCTGTGAGTGCTCTTTGAAGTAATGAAGGATGAAGATGGTTGGTTTCCTGAGGTCTTCCAAGCCTTTATTTATATTTGACCCAAAGCTATGATGCGTTTAAGTTCAACTACAACCGTCGTCACTGAACTTAGCCAGCTGACGTGGCATGGTGTATCTACAGACATATGCGTTAATCTTTCACGGATGTCCATGGCGCAACACCGCCCCAGGTTACCGATCATGCCCTGACTTTTGCTCTCTTCCTGGCTGGTTGGCCATTGCTACCCCAGCCCACTAGGCTGTGCATCTAAGCAGCGTAGCCCTAGTTGGTTTTAGTGTCGTTCATAGACCAATGACGGCCTGCCAGTACAAGATATAGACATGGTCTTAGCTTTTACAGCCTTCAGTAGTGGTGGGTTAGTTTTAGGTTTGCATGAAAACGTGTTTTCCTATTTTGAGGCATGCTAACATGAATAAGAACATTTTCCCAGCCTCCAAACATTACAATATATCAAATTGAAGGGTGCTGTTTTTCGCTAGATTACAGAGTGGTCAGCCTAGCCAAGAGCCTAACATAAAAAAAAAAACGATTAGACAGTACATGATGCTTTGATGGGTGGCCAAGCTCCATCGAAGCTTGTTATTCTCGTACGACCCTCAGCTGCCGTAAAGATAGACTTAAGAGCCGGCATATAGGCCGGGGTTAATCTGACTTTCCGTTCTGGTGCGAGACTGAGAGCGTGGCCCTTCTCCAGACGTGGCATATACAAGAGCCTTCTTAGAATAAGAACGGATATATTGGCTCAATTTAATCCCATTTCAAGCAAAGAACCCACCTTTTACTTATTGTGGCAACAAATAATCCCGCTAGATTTTAAAGTCCGAAGCGTGATCCCAGCTAGAGGCAGATATGGGAGCCCTGCCCCTATCAGGGGGGTTCTCATGACAAACTTAATTAAGTTTCAGACTTTGATGCATTGGTAATCCCGTTGCAAGCCAATAGCCCACCTTTTACTTATTGCAGCAACAGATAATCCCGCTGGGTTTTAAAGTCCGAAGCGTCAACCCGGCTGTGGGCAGACCTGGAACCCAACTCCCATGGCAAACTAAATCGGCACTTACTGTTGGATTAATCGCATGCTACGAATTATTATACTCTAGGTGAGAATATACTGCTCGCTTTGGAGACAATGTTTTATCACGGATGATTCATGAAACCTCTCTCCTCACGGCAAAGATAGGTAATTACTTACCAATAGAACTTAATCTGAATTGAAGAAGTAATTGAGTGCGTGACAAAAATCATGGCAAAATAAATAACTCCCCAATAGCACAATATATATTCTTTATTAGGATAACAAATAGCATGTAACGCTTTCTGCCGTCTTGATGTATAAGCAAAACCTGAGCAATATGAAGCAAAAGATGCGGCGGGGTTTTGTTTCTTGAGCTGATCAGGAAACATCTCATCTCGGCAAGGTTGGCTGATGCTGATCTAAGAAAACCGATTCGGTGATGTGAAACCAGTGTAAGAGGACCTCGAGAAACTATGGGCGAATTGCTGGATTGGTAGCCCGTATATTTGTCTATCCCCTTTATCTATCCCTAGCCCTATTCGACGAATCGACTCGGGGGAGGTCATGCATGGCTCAATCGGCCTCTCATTCAGCCTCATCTATGATTTAGGTGTTGGTGTGCATCGATATGCATGATTACACATCGAGCTACTTCTTGACGCGAAGCTTAAGGTTTCTATCAATACACACCAGGCTTTGAGATATCAGCATCATTCAGAAACCAAAAACAGCAGTATTCACCGGCGAAAAGGACAACAGGGGAAAATAAGGAACAAAAAAAAAAAAGATCTAAGAGAAAAGAGGCCAGAAGGAACTGGAAATGAAGTTGCTGATCTATTTCAGTTGAACTTCATGCTTCCGAGACGTGGTTCCATATACGTAAGTAGTGCCTTTGCGTCCCCTGCTTTGACGTGAAAATATTGGCAGACTATGAAACCTGTTTCGACGATTCCAGCGTCCGAAGAAGCCCCTGAACGCGCCATTGACGGGAATAAGGGGCTCTAATGCACAGCCGGCATCTTCGGTATCGCGTATAGCGTATTGCCCTAGAAGGGCAGGGAACATGTCTAGCCAATCCTACACGATCTCGGTGGACATCCAGTCTAGCCAGAGCAATGTTACTATGTATGCTAATCTCACGTAAGACCGACCACGGCCAAGGCCAGGGTTAGGGACGTTAATCTATTCCCTTGAGTTCTAACTCGTGCGTTATATTCTCTTCCTTAAGACTATCCCAGGAGACTAACGTGTTTCTATGTTAATTGAGTTGCTTTTAAATTTCTTGATATATTATTCATTCTCGAGAGAGTCGTACCCAGTGATCATTTATTTCTAGCTACGACGATGCGGGACTCATATAATGGATTCCTCGCTCTGGCCTGCCTTGGTTTGTTCAGCCAGTGGGCCATCATGATCATGAACGGCTCCTTACGCCTGATGCTCCTGACCGCCTGGACAGGTATTTTCCCCGACGGTATACCTCTCAGAGAAGAATGGACGCGTATTTGGATAGTCGACTTAGCGCTTCGCGTGCTCGTGGCTTTCTTCGGAGCCATTCTCAACGGGGTTGAGTCCAACGAGTTCGGGCCTTATTTATGTTTAGTTGATCTAATCACCACTATTGTTGTCTTCAGCATGATGTTCTTAATCGAGGATCGGCGTGATAGAGGGAAGGGCGCGCTGCGACAGTGAGATCTCCGTTCTCTTACGTATCGTCTCGGATTCACATTGTTACTAACATACCATTTTCCGAATTTGCTAGTCCCAGTTGTTGGCAGATGATGCTTTATTTCTTCGGTGCTGCCTCAATCGTACCCGTGTACATGCGGCTGTATCTCAAAAACCGACTCTCGCCGCGCCTCGAAGTACCGCATAACCAGGCACGAGCCTTGCCGTTTACAGCACTGTGGTGTTCGGTACTCTCTGTTCCCCTTCTTCTTCCTGTCGCCCTCGGAGCCAGCGTATCCCGGATTCAGGTTGGCATAGTAGTCTGGTTGTTCAGTCCAGCGACGGTCGGACCTTTCCAGGACTTGTTAAGCACTCTCATGTCGAAGAGCAATGATATCAACTCCTCGACAAACGAAGCAGCTAGGCCCATCGCTATCGCTTACGGCATCGTGGGGGTGTTAAGCGCGGTAGTCCACTTCTGCGTTGTCGTGTTTACTTTCGTGTCTTCCAAGCTTAGGTGGAGTGACATCTACTGGCCGATCCACGGAGTACGGAGCGGCCCAAGTCTCATGACCGATGGTGCACTGATATTCATACAATCTGGTTACCTCTTCCTCTCAATATGTGTGCTCGCTCTGGGTTACTACGTATTGAAGACCGAGAACTTGTCCGCCACCCACACGCTACTTGGCAGCTTGCATGGCTGGAGGGCCCTGCTGGCGCATACGGCACTAATAGCTGTTTTCGGTCCTGGAGCTGGGTTGGCTTTGTTGCTCGGCAGGAAGGAAATAACAGCAGCTTCTACAATTGCGGCCAGAAAAGGGAACTAACTAGTTAAATCCCTCTCGTGGCGTTGGGCCTCTTCCGCGAAGAGCTACAGGTGAGGATCTTCAAGGGGGATCTTTATTTCGGCAAACGAATTAAATGAGACATGTAGTATCACATAGTGAACAAAGGTTTACATTAGTAGGTCAGGCCATTTAATAGATCAATTATCGATATACTGACAAGTGATAAACTGATAACTAATATCAAGAATGTTAGGTACCTACGCCTTCTCTACAAGCTGTTTGATGGACAAACTTCACCTCTTCATCATGCATCATGCACGTTGGAACTGTCCACGCAGGTGTTGATGGTTCGGTTTGATTTATGTGCTTTTATCGTGTTGTCTGGTTTAATTACTCAATTAAGCAGTCATCCACAAGCATAAATGTATGTACTTGATGCTCTTGTGACTTCCTATACTTGTAGCATCTCTCCCAGCTGGTAGAAGGCTACCGCAATGTTCCTTTCTCTCTCTAGAGATTCAAAGTATGGATTACAGCATATCACTCATGTAAATTAAATAACAAGACGATAGAACTTTAGACAATGTATGGTTATATGACAAAGGATACTTTTGTGGGGGTCTAGGATGCCGTTTCCGGTGGTGGAGAGGTAAACCGGAGGATGGTGACTTGACCAGATAGGCTCCCGAGCACCATTGTGGTCAGGTGCACAGCTGAGCGCCACGGTCGATACTGAATTGGGAGTCGAAGTAATCTGTGCCCATTCCACGTGATCCAGACCCCGTCGGGGCTAATCCCGTAGCCGGAGAAGCTGGATGACACCGGGGCATTGTTCAACTGGGTAGGAGGGAAGTTGGATAAGGCTATCACCCCGTAGCCGGTTTCGAGACCTGAACCATCGGGAGTGAAACGAACGAGGTCGCCGTATCCGGGGACTAGGGCTAGGCCTCGGCCTCGGTCAAAAGTTGACCCCGACTCAAAACTACATGTATATAGGTGTTGGCTTGTTTCTATACACCATAGCCGAATTTGATCATCGGCTCGAGTCACGAGAAATAAGCTTATCGCAACGAACTTGGAGTCACTTGAGAATGCGCAGGCCCTGCTATATCCTAGGTAGTTTGACTCAAGGAGGCATTTGCCAGTGTCGCAATGCCATACCTGCAGCATGTCCTTTAGATGGGATGCAAAAAGTGTCGAGTCCGGCGAAAACGTCATTTCCAACTCCAAGGGTAGCGTCCCGTGTGTCCAACTTTGCTTACAGCGCCAATCACTGGTGTTCCAGAGGTGAACATAACTTTCGTCAGAGGTGGCAACGAGTCGTCCGTTGGGAGAGAAGAGTGCTGGCATATGACTGGGCCCCGTTTCGAGAACTCTCATACATTGCCCTGTTTCAACGAGCCATATGCCAGTTGTATATCCATGAGGTGTATCATTTTGCCGCGTGATGATCACCACCATGCTTGAATCGGGAGAAAACTCGGCATAGACAACAACGGGGTCATCTATGTGGAGCGTTTGCACAGGCGCGCCCGTATCAACGCGCAAGATTTGGGGAGATGCGGGCGAATCTTTCGAAGGGCCTACTAAGATGAGCGACCAGTCCTTGGACAGCGCTGTAACAGTCGATGTGAAAACCCTTTTGCACTCGCCAGTCATGGCATCCCAGATCGTGAGCTTGAGCCGTCTGAGGTCGCAACGAGAGCTGAGTCAGGTGAAATGCTCGCACTTCTTACCTTAGCACGACTCTCGGTCTGTTTGGAAATGTGATGGTCGTTCGAGGCATCAATTAGCCAGATTCGTACAGTCTCGTCATGGGATGCCGAGGCCAGCAGAGCCGAGTCACGGGAAAAGGCCATATGGTGAATTTTACTTCCGTGTCCTGTAAGTACTTGCACACATTCCCCTGTTTCCACATTCCAGATCCAAATGTCATTATCATTGCTTGCAGCGAGCAACACAGAATCGTGAGAGAATACAATCGAGGTGATTGTTCTTGTATGCTTCAGTTCCTGCACGCACTCTCCGCTGTTGGTCTGAAATATCTTGACGGTTGCATCGACGCTACTAGAATAAGCGAAATGGGCCGAGTCGTGAGAGAAGTCAAGCGCACGTCTTCCATGGCGTATGTCATGATCTATCAGGAGTGGCGTATTGCTTCTGGCGTCTAGATTCCATAGCCGCACAATCCCGCCCCAAGAAGCAGTTGCGGCGAATTTAGCGTCGGGCGAGAAGGCGACCCAATCCACTTGATTGTTTTTCGCGTCGAACAGGCGATTGAATTCACCTATCTCTGCTTTCCAAATCTCGAAAGGTTTGGCAAACCAGCCTGATACAAAGAGTGTCGGGGTGGAAGAACCGAAGCCATAGATCACCCCCTCTGCATAATCTTTGATTGTTATGATGCATTCCCCCGTGCTAACACTCCAGACACGGATTGGGCCAGAACTTGAAACTGCTAATGCACGAGTGGAGTCATCCGAAAAGACAACCATGATGACTCGACCTTCGTGGCCCTCCAGCATCCATATGCATTGACCTGTATCCACGTCCCAGATCCTAAAATAGTGTTTCGTCTGATCGGGTGATGCCACCAGTTTGGAATCGGGAGAAAATGATACGAAATCCGTATTACACTCAAGGATTTGCAGACTTCGGCCCCAATCAACTTCAACTTTGGGCTGAAGGGCAATCCACTCAGGCATCACCTTCTCATACACTTTGCGGAGGTAGCTCTTCATGGGTGCGAAGATAAGCGAGGATGAGTACAACTGAAGGGGTGTGGCGTCGATGACTGATGTGTTGGCAATAACGAAGGAGAGGGCATCATCGAGCATGAGAGAAAGTTCCTTGCCATCTCGCGGCTTTATATGCATGGGCATCACATGTCAGCTCAGGAGCTAAGCAAAAGAAGATGATGGGGCATGCACTTACGTCAATCAGCATTTGCAGAGTCTTCAGATGACCGATACACCCGTAGACACCTCCCAACAGACCAAGGCATTCCAGCCAATGGAGGAAATGGGTTTGGAAAAATTGGTGAACCAAGCCACCATCAACCAGCATATCGCCTGCATGCTGGATGTGGCGCACCCAGTAGGAGCATGAATATTGAAGCTCAGGAGAAAGAGACGCATTAACCGTCTCAATTTTGATCGACGAGCGCTCTGTCACCCAACTCGAGAGGTTGCACATGTTCTGTTTGAGCTCCCTATCGAGCAAGGTTAAGGCTCTTGATGCTATATCAGCATGAGTTCCTTTCTCATCAATCCAGAAAGCAGTTGCTTCCTTGTTCTTGGTATCTGTCAAGAAATCTCTCAAGGATAGATGTAGCATTCTCACTGGCGAATCGGGCGAGGTTGGAATACTGAGCACTGAGTGAAGCATCATAAGATGATCGTCAATGTGATTTCTTGGAACTTGAAGGAGTCGGCTCAGCGATTCCGTAGAAAGCGGCGTTTCCAGCATGATGATGGAGCCCACAATCGACGTAAACTTCTGTATGACTTTGCTTCTATCATCCGCATCCATTCCAACCACCAATTTGTTCAAGATAGGGAGGTATGTAGAGTCAAGATGGGACTTAGTTTCCGTTTTTCCGTATGCAAGAACGTCCTGGATCTGATCGTCGGGGTTTCCAAACTTAACATCCGCAATGAAGCGACACATGGTAGTAGCGAAGATGAAAAGAGGCACAGCCATCTCTACCAGCTGCCGTCTTCTGTCCTGTCTGGGCCAGTCAGAGGGCAGGCGACGATAATCAGAAGTTACTATGCAATTCCACTCTGTCCTGATCTGGTCCAACCGATAGTCTAGAAAGACGGAGATGTCATGCTCAATCACGGGCTCAGGGAGTTCATGAAGGATCACTGGATGGTAGGATCCGGCTGTCGCTTTCCCAAATGCCCGACGGTTCGGTATTTCAGGCCGGCTTGTGATGAAAATCTTCAACTGTGGCACTTTCATGACGCTAAAATCCGTAAACAGGTTGATGAGCAAATCAATGTCTTGATCTCGTCCACACTCATCGAGAGCGTCGACAATTAAAACGATCGGGTGGTCGGGTCGGTGTTTTTGCGACTCCATGAGCGGCTCTATAACAAGATTTTTCAGTTGCTGTCCCGGTGCCCTCTTGAGAAAACCAGCATCCTTGTCCAAGGCCTCCTTAACGGCTGTACTGAACTCGGGAACTTTGATGACCATATCAGCAGCAATGGTGGAGAAGAACTTTGACAAGGTGCTGCGTTCGGCCTCGCCGGTCTTGAAGAAGAAGCTTGCGCCGAGCATCTTGTCGTCGTCAAGGCGCTGTGCAACAGTTCGCGAGATGGTAGACTTGCCTGTGCCAGCCATGCCATTAAGCCAAAACACGCGCGCTCCATCGGGATCCTTCACCCAGTCTTGTATTTGCTGGAGCAGATCAACTCGGGTGTCTGGTAAGCATGTCAACTCGTGGTCTTCTGTGTGAGAACCAAAGCACGCCCCTTCGGCAACAGGCAATTGGCTCAGCAGTTCCAGATGGCGCACGCCGGCTCCGACTTCTAAAATTTCGGCACTGAGACCGTCAGCGCGGGCTAGCTGGGGACAGATCAAGGTGATGATGGAGAGTTTCACTTACGCTTGGTCTACTTGCAAAGCAGAATTTATATTCTGGCCACAGTTTCGCAGATTCCCAAGTATCCCGTCAATTTCGCTTTTTTTAAATGGCCATTTAAGAGCCCGTAGTCCAAACCTAGTCATTATCTTCTGGCCTTTTTCGAGACCCATCTTTTCGTCTACCTTCTTGAGTTGACCCAGAGCCTCTGCAATCGCGGTCTGGAGCTGGTGGGATGTTGCCAGTCTATCACCATTGCAACCTCTTAGTAGGCGCTGCACACTCTCTGCGATACCCTTGAGGATGATTATTTCCGTCTGCACCGTGTCGATGTCGGATTTGGCTTTACGGACCTCCTGGCCATATTTATAGCACTGCGCGACTATCTTCGCCGCCATGTTGACAACAGCGATGGCATTAGCCGCTATACCGAGTCCTTCCATGTTTTCGGTGGATTTTTTACCTGAAATGAGTTTCGAGGTTTGATGGGTAGATTGGTGAGGATGAGAGGGGCGAGGGGTATTGCGCGGGCAATTAATCCTCAAATACTGGTGAGCATTCGACAGTGTCGAGACACTGTGTAGCTCTTACTGTGTGCAAAACAGTTAAGGCGGATTGGCGTGGCTTCTAGGCAGTGATTTGGTATTTTCTACTGCACTTTGGTCAATATTAAGGGGCTGTAAGACGAAGAGCTGCAACGTTGATTGGAGGCAAGGACAAGCTGAGGGCGCTGTGGCTGCATCCCAGCGGCAGCATGAATGCCCATCATACCCGCCTTTCTGCCTTGCGAATGCAAGCTCTCTGCACATCGTAAAGTAGAATAAATGTTCGTGGGTCTGAAGCACCGAGATGTTGCATCAACCTCCCACCGAGCCAATGTTCAAGCGTAATGGGCAGACAAGCTCGAAGAGGAAGTGGCACAGAACACTTCCTAAAGTCTAGTCAAAATGGTTAGTTGAGGGAGGTGGGATTCCAATTCTTTAGGAATACCCTACAGACAATCCAAACATATCCACTGTCAATGAACAGTACTATGTATGATGAAATTGGCTATGACCGTGGCTTTCCTCGTGTAGAAATGCCATTAGGATGATGGAATTAATACGGCGCATCAACTATACAACCAAGCCGGACTGACCACCTACGTTCACCTAGCATAAAGTTTTGGTGAACGACCGTTGTCGCTGTGCGAAGCGGTGGAAGCCAAACTGGCAAGAGCTGTCTTAGCCGAAGCCAGATATTGTTTAGCTTTTCCATCTACTGTAGTCAAGATTACGCTGTTGTTGGTGCTAGAAATGGACAGCCTGCCCGCGATGAAATGGACGTTCTGTAGTCTGAGGCCAGGGCAGCCTTCTCTTATTCCATGCAGAAATCTCGCGTTGGGAAAAAAAGCCAGAGAAGTCCGGGTATAAGATTTTTATGTGTGCATTCCATTTTTTTCTCAACCATACGAGACTATTAAATTTGGTATTCTGTAGAGTGAAAGCAGCAATCCACAGGGCCGTAATACATAAAAGGGGGTATATGGTGATGTTTATCCCCCCGACTTAGTGTCCAGCAGGCCAGTTCCGGTTGAACGGAACCAAAGCCCCATTCATCGTTTTAGCAATAGAACGGTCTGATAAAAAGAGACATAACTTTGCAACGTCCTCCAGCGGAACATCATTGACCCCATAGTTGAACCCAGGCATATGCTTCTCGATTAACCCCAACCCTTCCATGTTAACCCCTTCAACCAGCGAGTCCTGTATGTTTGTTGCTGCCAAACCTCCCAATTGTAGCATAGTGCAAGTGATGTTTTTCTCCAAGTAGTAGGCTGCAGTGTTGCGGGTAAGAGCGAGAACCCCATGCTTCGATACCAAATAAGCCAATCCACCATCGATACCACAAACAGAAGCATTTGAGCCCATATTGATAATGGATCCTCCTGGTGGGGACTGTGCAAGCATTGCGTTAACAGCAGCTTTCGTGCAAACGAATGCTCCCGTAAGGTTGACTCGCAAGATTCGATCCCACATCTCTTGCGAGCATGTCCCTGCTGGATCGAACTTGTCGAGAACAGCGGCGTTGTTGACTAGAACGTCAAGACGCCCAAAACGCTTCACAATATCCTCGACGAGTGAGTCTATCTCGATCTGGGAGGCGACATCGGCCCTTTTAATGATGAACCTTCCGGGATAACTCTCGGTCCACAATTTTGATGTCGCCTCAAGACGCTCTTCATGAATATCACAGATGGTGACATTGTGACCCTTGTCAAGATATGCGGTCGCAATGGTTTTACCCAATCCGCCAGCTGCCCCGGTGACCAAGATTGAGAGAGTGTTGGATGAATCTGACATGATGTAGGAACAAATTTGCGTTTGATACAAGAGGACTTTGAATAATGATGTGTAAAGTAGAAGTGCCGAGACAGTTCACGCAAGCAGGGCATGGCCGACTTTATACCCCTTTCGACATCAAAAAAGAGCCCTTTACTAGCAGTGACCGGAAATACACTCTTCTACCAGACGGTCTCTTCCGCTTCTAGACAGCTTGCTCTCGTCCAGGGCTAGTTAACGTGGTAAATGCCGAAGAGAAATTCTACGAATACGACCTGGAAACCGCACTAGTGACGCACATCTCGTCTGTCGTCTAAGAAATGGGGCTTCCAACCCCACATTACCCCTTGCCCAAGCCGGCCTGGGTAGACCTGCTATGAGAGGGAGGGTGTTATTAACTAATTATTGACCCTAAGAATCCCGAAGTGTTCATTTCCTCCGTTCTTTTAAGGTCATTGCCGTGTAATTTTTACGATACTGACTGAAAATAGTCTAGGAAGTCTAGACTCCACGGCATACAACACTCCAGGAGCAGGGCATTGACTCAACCAGTTAGGTAAGAAGACCGAGAAAAGCCCCATGATGAGACCTAAATATTATCAAGCATAGTTCATTTTTTTTCAGTCCCAATCTAATTTGTTTAACTAGGGAGAGAGTTGGTTGTTGGTAGCCGAAAGTCCTATGCTGCTCGCATGTCACTAACATAAGTCCCACCACCCCATTTGTAGATTTCCCCTTCACTTCCCTTCCTGTTCAAGCATTCCCCAAATATTATTCAAACTCTCTGCAAGAGAAGGGTGTGCCCACACCGCGTCTCGGAGCGCCGTCCACTTGCTGCCTGCAATCATAGCCATCTGCACCACACTCATGATCTCACCACCCTCCAGCCCCAAGCACGTGAAGCCCAAGATCTTCTGAGAGTCAGCGTCGATGATAGCCTTCATCATTCCTCTTGTTTCGTCAGTCTCTAAAGCTCTGGCGACGTACGCCATCGGCATCCTCGCTACTTGGATCTTCGCGTTCGGATACTTCTCCCTCGCCTCTTTCTCATGTAGACCAACATGAGCAAGCTGCGGGTCCGTGTAAACGACATATGGCAGGATTCGGTCCACAGTTGTCATGGCAGTGGAGTGGGAGGCCTTGTCGAGCAAGTTTCCTTGCAGCAACCGGAAATCGTCGTAGGAGACGTGTGTGAACGCCGGTGGGCCTTTGACATCGCCGAGAGCCCAGACACGTGGGTTGGAGGTTTGCAACGTTTCATCGACCACAATGTGGCCGCGAGTAGTGGTCTTTATCCCAGCGGTATCAAGGTTCAGGGATTTCGTATTGGGAATTCGACCGGCGGCGAACAGGATATGGGATCCGGTGAATTTGGATGTACCCTCCGGTCCTGAAGCGGTTGCCGAGATAGCCTTGGCAGGATCAGTGCTACCAGTGGCACTAACTTCCGTCAGGGAGGCCTTGAGAAACACAGAAATGCCGTCTTCTTTGAGAATCTTGAGCATCTCATCGGCGACTTCCTTATCCTCCCGGGGAAGGAGCTGAGAATTTCGTTGTATGATGGTTACATCAGCACCCAGGCGGCGGAAGAGCTGGCCGAATTCGAGACCAATGTAGCCTCCCCCAACCACAATGAGATGTGAGGGAACAACTCCGAGCTCCTGGATAGAAGTCGAATCAAGGACAGTGCCAGCGGGAAAGCTTTTCGCGTTGAAGCCCTCAATATTGGGGGGCGCTGGCCGCTCTCCCGTGCAAATGAAGATCTTGTCGGCAGTAATCGCCTTGTCATCGCCGTTTTTGCCGGCAACTTTAATCGTGCGCTCATTCTCAAAGCTCGCGGAACCCGAGATGACGTTGACGCCGGCATCACGGAGCCTGCGTTCACTGCCAGACCGGAACGAGTCGACAATGTCGCGCTTGCGCTGTCTCACCTTTTCCATATTAATGCGTACTTCCTCAGGCTTCAGGCTAATTACGCCGTATTCTGGCCCTCTCCTTGTTAAATAGGCAACCCGGCCGGAGGCAATCATGGTTTTGGTTGGCGTACAGCCTTCGTTGACACAGCAGCCACCAACGTGGGTACTCTCAATGAGTGCGGTCCTCTTTTTGGCTTTTGCGAATGCCATACTGAGCGGCGTCCCGCCTTGGCCGGAGCCGATGATGACGGCATCATAGTGCATCGACATGGCCAGTCGTGGGTTGGCAAATGGTCGTTTATGGGTTGTGTGAGTGGACAGCGACAATATTGATCGCTGGAGGAACGGAGATCGGAGGCCAGTTATCATCGGTAGATTACAATAGCACCAATATTCACCTATTTTCAAGGGTTTTTGAATCAAGCATTCGAGAAGTGACTGAGGGATGGGCCAACGTTTAATATACGAGCATCATGCTGCGGGGAAGCTGGCTGACAGTACGTCAGAGCATTGGAATGTTAAGGTTTGGACGAATCAGCTCCGCCAATTAGTGTGGTCAGAATAACGAGTAGATGGACCCGTATCTGTAATGCTGGGTAATGACTTACTAACTGAGCTATCATCACATGAAAGAGGCGTGCTAGGCATGTGATTTAAATCAAAGTAGGTATGGTTAGATATCCTCACACCTTCTCATTCCAGTGCCAGACTGATCTTTGAATTCATCTAACGAAAATTATCAAGATAGCGCCATGTTATTCTGTTCCTACTGCTGAAAATTCAAAATCTCGGCCAGTTTTGACCATGTCGCAGCGGGATACTCTCCTGTTAACCACATATTCCCTGCATGATCCCTTCCATTAATAATGAGAAGGCAGGTAGAGAAGAATCCTTTCGACGTCTCGATGTTACGTGAATGATAATAGACAGGACGGCCTGGCTTCCAAGTAACGTCGTATTGCGGTGACGCGCTCCCAGCCTTCACAACGGCTCGGCTGAAGTCAACCGTTTGCACAAGCTTGGCCGAGCCCCAATTTGATGAGCTGGCGAGTAGGCCGTTATAGTCTCCAAACATAGGGAGCCGACCGGTTGCTTTCATTGATGTCGCTATTTCGCCTGCTGTGACTTTCAGTTGTTCTTCGGTGGTTTGGGCCTCAATAGCTCCGCGCATTTTCACCGCCAGTTCTCCGATCTTCATCTCCAAGGCTTCTACTACCGGGCAACTGACAACAACTCCGGATGGAGCATTCTGCACGTATGCTCCGTTTTCTTTGAACGCCGATTTCGCTCGGCCTCGTGGGTCCGCCGCGAGTATCAGATTAATCGGTCGAGTTGAACCCACCGGGAGAGTATGTGCTGCCAGACGCACACTAAGCGCCAGAAGAATGTCGCCCTCTGATATAAACGATATCCCATTCTCCTCTGAAAGCTTTCCTTTGGCATCATTTCTCGCATTCTCAACCAGCGCGTCCATGATCGCCTTTGGTACGCACATCATCTGGGAATCATACGCCGTCCACCAGGAATCCCACATCAGCCAGAGGGTCCAGCTCAACATCTTCCAGCCCGTCAGTCTCATATGATCAAGTGCATGTTTTCCTTGAGTTGCTGATTTGTATAGCGGAGCCATGCCGTCCTCCACACTCATAAAATCGGCCTTCTCCTCAGGCTTCCCTGCCAAGTGGCATTGCCAAGCTTCAAGAACGGCCTTCAATCCGCTCAAGTCGGATACAATATGGTTGAAATTGATGGAGACGAGTGTCCCGTCTTCAAAGGTCACAACATGGAGGGCAAATTGAGGGAGATCAGAGTACAAATAATCATCCAGCTTCCTTGGGGCTCCAGGTCCCACGCCGAGGGAGGAGTAAGATCGGGGGCTTGGGAACAAGGTAGGGCCTGAGCCAGCAGCGGGGAGCTTTGACGCCTCTGGATGCTCAGACATGCGCACATTGAAGTGCTCTTTGGTGAAGTAAATGGGCGGTCGCTCTGGGGTGAACGGCCGGGGGACGTGCACCTCGATCTTGCCATCAGGCTGGCGTTGGGTATCGCGGTCAGCTTCGCACCACCAATCGAACATATCTCACCGGTTTGGGGACCATGTCACAAACCTTCAAGCGGAGCCTTCCTCCTAGCTTTCTCCAACCTTCACACTGGAAAAGCTCTGACAGGGAATTCCCGAGCATGTCTGCATCCAGCACGTCGTCGAACCGCAGAGTCCACATCAAGGTATGGCTACGTAGGTAAAACACGTCGTCAAACAAGTGCATCGGGAGTACCTCGTCGGTAGGGACGCGCTCTGGAAGCGGCCTTTTCGGGGCAAGCCCAAGCATTCTGGCAATGTACGACATGTTGCGTAAGAGGCGCTCCTTGATACAGATTAAAGATTGAAGGAAGCTCCCGGGACACCGGTTTGGTGGAATGCAAGTTTTTTTTCTATCAAACCGCGCGGTCCGGACTTCACGGAGAGGGGAAATAGGGGAAGCATGGAGCTGGAATTCGGGCTAAGGCCTGCAACGACGCTATATTCTGACAGCCAGGCATGTCATCCTACGAGCTTTTTATTAGTCTTCGTTCGGCATATCCTAGTTAATTAGTACGTCATCAATTGGCACACCAATGCTGCATTTGGTGTTTAGTTGGCTTAATTTCTTCAAGGTGTCCCTCATCATGTGCAATGATAAGCTTTAGCCTTCCCCCAGTTCCTGATCTTCCAATGAAAGCTTCTTCGCCAGAAAGACCTAATAAACAACGATGAGGACAAACGAAGGGATGTGCTGGTCAGTCAAGCAGGGGTGCCACAAGCCCTGACTTCCTAACACCAGAGGCAAGGGAAACCCAGCCAAATTCAAGATATAGTTGTACAAAGAAAACATCATGTCTAGCTAGGCTTGCATTCGCTTGTCGTTAATTAATTGTAACATGTTACCAAAAGACCACGTTCTTCTCTTCTCTAATAGCTCCCGTATTGTCTTCAGTTGCTCTTCAAACTGCAACCTCATTGGTGACTCTTCTGAAGTGGTGCAGTACAGCACACATCGCCTCTGCCAGTTCAAGACAGCGTCCAGCATTGGTAGACTGACCTTCGCCATGTTGAGATATTCTATCGTGACGCTAGCCTGGGCTCCCAATTGACACAGGTTCAAGGAACGAGAAGATTCAAGTCTCGTTATCCAGTATTTCCATGGAGTAGTTTTTTGTTTGTTTTCAGAAGTGAATTCTTCGTTGGGACAGTAGCCAAGAGACAGGAGCCAGCGGACTACATGATGTGCCGGCTTGACACGGTCAAATAGTGGCACATCACATAACGCTGTTTTAGAATGTTCTTTTGAGAGAATGTAGTTGGAATACACCGGGTTCGTTGCATGAAAGAGCAATGGATAGCAACTCTCGAGCGTGTCCAAGCTAGGATTCTTGTCGCGAAATCTCTCAATCAAGTCTAGCATCCCGGCTTCGACGGCGAGGCGTAGAATGATCTTCTCCGGTGGGAAATCTCCCCACGGGTAGTCCGAAGCCCACCTGCTTGCTATTTGGGCCATCTGCAGGACATCCACGAGGGCAGCCACCACATGCGTTATCTGGGTTCCAGTCTTCCAGTTGGCCCAAAGAACCCGCCGCCAGACATCATAAACATGCTCGATGCACTGGGAGGGGGAATGCGAATTGTTCTGATTGGCGCTACAATGTGCCAAATGCAGAGACAAGCATCCTACAGCCGCCTGCGCGTCAAACTCATGCTCGGCGCCCAAGCTAAGGCAGTCCAGCTCCCATGTTTCCTCCATATCGAGAAAGTCATACACGCTTCGATGCATGAAAATTATGACTGAGTCTGCGGCAAAGGTCTCATGGCACTTGTGATAACCCCCAAAGCTGACTTGGCCACAGAAGCAGAACTTTTGCGGTAGACTGTGTGATCGGCGCACCTCAAGCAAGCCCCCGCAGCGACTCCTTAATCGCCCTTCGATGCGATTGCAATTCGCATCTTTCTCGATTGTACTAAATCCATATTTCAGAGTTTCAGCCAGCCGGGACGAGTCATAGTCGTGCCAGTCTAGCTGTGCAAGGCCCAGCGTGGGAACACCTATGCCATGCTGGGCGATGTATAATTTACAAATCTTAAGAATCCTGGCAGACTGAAGCAGATATCTCTTGTCGACTCGCGTAAGCATATCTCGGAAGAGGTCTTCGAGTTTCTCTGGCAGCTCATCAATTCGCTTCCTCAACTCAGAGGGCGAATCGCTCGCAGCCAGCCCATCAAGGAGCGAGCGGCAGGCCAAAACAACCCACAGGAATACTCCAGATGCCTTCTCCACCATCTCTCGGATGAGATGCTTCGCACTAGCCGGATCGGAGTCATATCGTCCATACTCGTAAAGGGGTGATTTCAGCTTGCTCTGAATGTACCTTGAGATATCAGGCTGGCTGAGATCTTCCAACTTAAGTTGCGGACATTTGTGAAAAGCTGCAACCAACTTGTGCTCAGGGCGACTGGAAACGACAGCTTTGATCTTAGAACCAGAGGTTAATGTTTCGATGAGTTCAATGCCTTCCAAAATATTCCCAGAGAATTCATCGAGTCCATCGAGGAACAGGCACATTCTAGACACTTGTGAATGATCACGGATCGACTTGCATAATCTAAGGATCTCTTCAGGCCCAGGAAGTGCAAAGTCGATCTCATCATGGCCATAGGCTTGCTCCCAAATGCGCGGAAGAAGCTCTTGGCAAAGTGACGGGTGCAAGGACAAAACCTGATGTAGAATAGACCGGAATAAACCATACAAAGAGTTTTGCTCTTTTGTGCCAAGCTTCCAAATAAAAAAGTCAGCCGTAGCACACGGTTTGCCCCCGGTCCACGTAGAGAGGTATTTCAGCGTCGCTTCGTGGTCAGAAAGGAGCTTCATCAGCGTCGACTTGCCGCTGCCTGCCTTTCCACACAACCAGTAGATTCCAGACCCTGATTCAAACCAATGCGGTAGGAGATCCCACCTTTGAGGTGTGCTTTTCGTGCTCAGCGCCCACCCCAAAGTATCCACGAATGGAGAGGTTATGGATTCTTTCCTCATGTTCATTTCCTGGAATGATAATCGACGAAGTATCTTCTTTTCACACCTTCTCTTCAACTCTAGATCAATCACCTCGACAAATGCATTGCTTCTTGAGCGTGCAGTTTGTTGAATCAAGACTATCATATCAGTCGGCCAATTTGGGTTGATATCCTCCTCCGCCAGGCGCAGCTTAGTTAAATAGTCTGAAGGAATAATGTTATCCAGTCTCTGCACAAGTTGGGCAAGATCATTCAATCTCGCCCGGTAATGTGCACTATCAAACAAGACCCATTTGGAGCTCCTCCACAAGAGGTGAGCGCTCTGCATCTTTCCGGCGGGGTTCAACTTTTTCTGATAATAGTGGTAGTTTTCCTTGAACTTTTCTAGTCTTCTCTGGCTAAGACCAATTCGTTCAGTCGGTAAAGGTATCTGCTGCCGTTCCCGATTGTCCGATTGAAGTTTTGCAACTCCCGCAAAGCCCCCTTCTGAATCGCCCGCAACGTCAGTATTGGTATCGAGACTCCCACTCCACGAGTCATGGCTTTGAATTGGATCTTCAAATTTATTGAGAGATACGAGCCCAGAGGCTTCGTGTGAAGCCTCATCATCATTGAGTATGTTGTGTATCTCATCTAGTATCACTCCAATTGTCCTCATCGTTTCAACATCTCTGAAAGGACTGTGGTCCCCATCATCAAGAAGATGAACTCTATCTGCCCATTGAAGTAACAGAACCCTTTCGAGTTCTAGCTTCTCCACGGTCAGCCTAAACGGCCGTGGGGCATTTTGGAGGATATATAGTTCAGGAACACTCCGGATACAGCCTTGGAAACTAGCGACCAGCTCAGAGAGAGAGGTTGCGATGACTCCTGACGCCTGCGAGGAAATTTTCTTTCCTTCGTCCTCTCGTTTGTTCTCCTGTTGTTTCCCTCCCCATTCAGTTGATTCGGATCCAAAAGTATTGGTGCGGGCATGCGGGTGGGCGTCTGTGGAGCTTGGAATTATGTCGAGAAGTTCTTTGGCATATGATGCCGCGACGGCAGAAGCATATGGCTGCCACAACTTGTTCTTGTGTGAATCGGCGTAGTCACAGATACCACGTATGACCAAACAAGGAAACTGACCCATCAGTCCTGCAGCCTCCATTTCAAAACATGCCATGCCCATTTCGTCTCCGAGGCGATCTCTCGTTATTCCGTGCCGCATAACCTGATTTCCCGAGGCTATCAGCCCATAGTGAATTACGGGAGCATCCGATTGGCGAGGTGTGCGGGAAAGTATCCGGGTAGAGTCGCAATTTGAACATGTCCCCTCACGCTGAGGGTGATCATACCGCGATTCGTACAGCACATCCTTCTCAACACCAGGATGTGCATATCGCGTATTCATGAGTGGATGGTGGTCATAGATTTGTTGGAGGTAGCTTGAGAGCACAGACTCGCCCCGGGCGTGATTGGAGCGGACTGTTGAAACAGCCGCAAGGAGGATACGTGGTGGCCTGTCCAACATGTTGGTGGGCACAAACCTGCCATCCTGCATTGTCTTGCCAAAGTCGAACTGCACGACTCCGCCATGGTTCGGCCCTGGATGGCTGACAACCACATCCCCAAGCCGGATATCGCGCCCAACTCCCGGGACACCTCCACCCACGCCCACTAGCAGCACGAACTGCAGGTTTCTAAAGCTGGAAGCCATCTCGGCGGCCACGATGGCTGCAGATACGGTTCCGGTTCCGCCTCCCGGTAGGCAGGTCATGGCGACATTGCGCGCGCCAATCCGACCCAACGTGTATGAGTTGTGATCATTGGGGTTTTGTTGGAGGATTGGGTGCCGCTCGTCCAAGAGAGCCTGGCTGGCAGCCATCTCCACTGGCAGAGCACAGATCCATCCTGCGGCGTATTTGTCGCGCGCCAACGCGCTGAGTGTCTCCATGGAAGTTGCTGGGGCTCATCTCAGGTTAAGTATGTGCTGATGAATTGAGGGGAATCTTTGGTCACATGTGCATATTCAGCTGAGACGCATCCAAGTACACTTGGTGTTACCCACTATTTTATCCTGGCTGTGTAACTAGCTACAGGGTAAGTTAATCAACCGGCGTGTGAAGCGCACATCATGATTGATGTCAATGGAAATGGTCTGGGTTTAGGGGGGGAAGAGACGTACAAAAGACATATAATGTGATAGACAGACTATATTCTCAACTATCAGTATCAATATAGATTTAAAATTCCTTTTCCGCCAGCTTTCTCCATAACTTCTCATCATAATTTGAGCATGTATTCGCTGAGAGCTCATAGTTACTCTATTCTATGCCACTATTGAAGAGAAAAGTTGAACATGATTTTGAAAGTGGGAATTACAAGATACTCATGATTAAGTTTAAAAAGAAACATTACTACATGCAGCAGCGTCAGTCTTAGTTCAGACACCATCGCTCACTTACTAGATAGAGCCTGTTTTTTTGTCTACGTAGAGTAAGGCTGGAAGAACCCCTGAAAGTTGCGAAACAAAAAAGGGAGGAGACTGAAATTCTATAACAGATGGCAGTGGTGTCTATTGTCTCCTCTAGATCCTTGCTGCCCTCTGCAGTCCTGTTTATTGACGGATATCCGACTGCCCTCTGTAATTCTTACAAGGGTGTTTCAAACACAAGAGCATATAAGACTTAAACGTTAGAGGGAGCTATGCTGGGCGGAGATATTCAAGAGACTTACTTGATGATAAATAATTAGCAATTGTTAAATGTTTTGCAGCTGGCACTATCCGGGATACGGGTCGGGTAGTAGCGTAGCCAACATGACGTGCAGGAGGCATCCCAGCCAACACCCCTACAAGTACAGGGAGCAATATCGAGCGAGGACCCAGAACTAGACTCGTGCCTCTCGATGCTTTTCGGTGGCCTTCCGGAATAGTGGGCTCGTTTGTCGGCAAGAACACGGTTTGGTTGTCATTGGCAGACTTACTTGAATGGCGGATACGGTACAACTACGCTGACCTTCAAGACAGTCCGAAGTTGATGAGCTAACATTTTACCCTCTGAAATAAATCTCCCCATCAATATCAGCCACATAGCAAGAGGAAAGAGACATATCATGTGCTTTCGGATCAAAGTCATGAGTGCACCTGTGCTCGGTTGTCACAGAGATAGCCCCAAAAAGGCCAAGGATGACGCAGAACAGCTGCAGGCTTCGGAGATGGCGCAGAAGAGATGGCAGTTTCTCCATCATAGCTGTCACATTTCCAGACCAAAGGCAGAACCTCGTTGTGTTCCGGCCGGCACCCCGCAAAAAGTAGCACTATCCGGACACGGTCCGATCTAGGACCCGATCCACCTCCGGACAGCTCCCGTTCTCAACGGTTGATGCACATGCGTCATCAAAAACAATCGGAATAATATCAAGGAGAATTCTAGGCTCGTGTCTTCCTGCTATATGCGTCATCAATATAAAATCGGTCCAATAACGGTGATCCGGGGGTGCAGTCCAAAAATCCAAAGTGCCCGGAACCGTAGGCCAACAGCGGGGAAAGGATGGCAGACATGTCATTGAAAGCAGAATCTGGATTTCTAATGTTTATATAATATTTCCCCGCCGGATATCATCACCCAGAATGACAAACTAATGCAACTTTATTGTAGTTTGCTGCTGGCCAGCCAATAGCTGTCATTAATGCTTGACGTCTGCTGCCGACATCATCCCACACGAGCTCCACGCGGTGCTACCCCAAACAAGGGGGGTCTTCCGTCGTCTTAATAGAGAGTATTCATAAATGGCCTTAACCGCTCAATTACCTCACTCTTCTCCTCTCTCGACAATAACTTTCACGGGCACTAAAAAACAAAACCATGGCTCGACCGGCTCTCACACCCAAGGATTTCCAGAATGCCTTCCACTGGGCTGCGACCCAGCAGAATGGCGCCATCCCGAGCTTTGAAACACGATCCAATGACCCGTACAAGTACCAGTCCGGATTCAACAACAACTTTGAGTCGGAAGCCGTGCCTGGAACGATCCCCAAGGGCCAGAACAGCCCAAGGGCGATCAGGTTCGGGCTTTACGCCGAGCAAATCACCGCCACGGCGTTCGTTGCGCCTCGCCACCTGAACAAGAAGGCATGGCTATATCGTGCCAGACCAGCTGTGGCTCACCAGGGATTTGTATGTGCTTTGTCCGTCCTACACGTGGGGGTTTATGTCCATATATGGTTGTGAAATGCTAACCAACGAGAAAAAGGCTGATTTGAAGGATAATCCGGACACGGAATCAACATTCCTCCCCATCAACCCCCGTGTTCACATCTCTCCGACGCAGTTGGCTTGGAAACCTCACCCAGTGCCTGAAGGTGATGTCGACTTCGTCGACGGCCTGAAGACCGTGGCTGGCTCAGGCGATCCTACCCTTCGTGAAGGCCTAGCGACTCACATCTACCTCTGCAACAAGTCCATGTCAAACAAGGCCTTTGTCAATTCAGACGGCGACTTCCTCATCGTTCCCCAGCAGGGAGCCCTCGACATCCAGACCGAGTTCGGTTTCCTCTACGTCCAGCCAGGCGAGATCTGCGTCATCCAGCGCGGCCAGCGTTTCAAGGTCAAGGTAGACGGGCCAACCCGCGGCTACATCCTGGAAATCTGGGGTTCGAACTGGGAGCTCCCCGAGCTCGGACCCCTGGGCGCCAACGGCCTGGCGAACCCTCGCGACTTCCTCCATCCCGTCGCCGCGTACCAGGTCACCCGTGACGATCCCTGGAGCATCACGTACAAGCTGGGCGGCAAGTTCTTCGCGAGCACCCAGAACCACAGCCCGTTCGACGTGATCGCCTGGCACGGGAACTACGTGCCCTTCAAGTACGACCTGACCAAGTTCGTCAACGTCGGCTCCATCTCCGTCGACCACATTGATCCTTCCATCTTCTGCGTCTTGACGGCCAAGTCTCGCGATCCGGCTGCCCCCCTGGCCGACTTCCTGATCTTCTCGCCCCGGTGGGATGTCGCGTCTCACACCTACCGACCTCCGTACTATCACCGCAACGCAGCCTCGGAGCTCATGGGTCTGATCTACGGAGATTACGGCGGACGGTCCGACGAGTTCCAGCCGGGCAGCATCTCCTACGAGTGCGGACACGTGCCGCACGGCGTGGCGTACGAGCAGTTCGCCGAGGCATCCAAGGCAGATCCGCCCGCGATGCAGATCTCGCCGGGGTCGATCGCCTTCATGTTTGAGAGCTGCCGCCCGTTCACCATCACGGACTGGGCGTGGAACTCCAAGGAGAAGCACGAGCACGACCCCAAGATGTGGGATGACCTGGTTGACAACTTTTCCAAGTTCCAGGTGGAGGTTGACGAGATTCTGGCCAAGGCTGGCAAGGCCTAGGTTGATTCGCCATGTGTGATGACCGGGCTGGCTGGGAGGAAGTATATAACTTAGTATGAAGTAGTGAATAAGATGAAGTCATATTTACAAGTCTAGTGACACCTCGCAAGCCTTTGACAGTAGAGTAGATGATAGGCAATGAATTTCGACAAACTCAGAATAATGAGATTCTCATAGTAGGCTCATAGATTAGAAAATGCTATTTATGTGCTAGGTTGTGAGACAAAAAAGAAAGCTCGTGGACCCGAAGCCAAAAATGTGGTTTCGCCCGGGCTCGAACCGGGGACCGTCTCGGCACAATCAGATGAATGTTAGCGAGAAATCATGACCAACTAGACCACGAAACCAAGTGTTGTGATTGGTTGAGGGAGGCCCAGCTAGAATTATTCATGAGGTGCGCATGTCTCGGAACTCAAAATTGGTGGCCGAAAAAGCTTCAATTTCCACCCACCCTAAACCCCTCTGACATTAGAGATGTAACAAGTGGTTACGACAGATCAGAGCATATCTAAGAGGGAATTGCCGATGGAAAGACTTGAGAGATTGCACAGGTATGAGACTCATGCGTCATCAACACGAAACTGAATGCAAATACATCAAATTCAAAACGTTGCTCGGGGTATCTGGAATTATCCTCCTGTCCAACCCGTCCTAAAATACCAAAGCCATGCTACCGTAAACGCCAAGGCAGCGATATTCCTTGTTCCAATCCATGTTATTCTTTTGGTTTACTCCCGTACTTGTCGTACAACCGGTCCCGGCTGGCCTCCACCTCTGCCATGGCGAGGTACTTCTCGAACAGCTGCATATTCGCCTCAATCTTCGCCTTGTCGGGCCCTTTGCTCTGCGTAGAGTCGGATGCTCCCAATGCCGGTTGATCGCTGGCTGCCTCGTTCTGCGCTCTTCGTGGCGAGGGATGTTGGGAGCTATTGATGTCGATCTCGGGAGGGGTGTTGCCTGTAGTCTGCAGCGGCAATTGCGTCATGGTCTTGGCTGGAGGCACCCGGGGTTATCGAACCTGGCGGAGGCAGAGGGGCAGGGCTTGATCGCGTGGATTTTCTCGTAAATGTGCTGCTAGTGGTAGATCGTAGAGGGCGGGATCAATTGACCAGAGCAGTGACCTTCATTCCAAAGCAAAGTTGAAGTAGGTGAGAGCCGGCAGAAATTGAGGAGCAGCGATCCAATAACCAACCATCGCACTTATGCCCAATTGCGGTGCTCGCGGTCTCACATCATCATCACCGCGCCCCACGTTGAGTGCAGGCAGCCTCAGCAATGGGTGAGTCTAGCAAAAAGCTTGTTGCCGCGTAAAGACAGGTTGTATGCATGATGCTTACTTGTATCTCTGCCCTGTGCGCATCGTGTCCACCAGCTGGGATCTGCCTCGCCCGTTGAACCGCCCCCATGCGAACCACCGCGAGGCAAGGCAAGGCAACCACATCTTCATCTTCCTTTGATTATGATTCTCTACGGGCCAGCCACTCGTCCATCATCCTACTAACCGTGCGGTGCAGGTCCCAGTCCCTGCCGCGGATGTTCCTGAACTCGGCGATGCGACAGATGGCCCAGTACTCGTCGGGCACGCGGCCGTCGAGGTGCGCCGCGTTGGACCCGACAATCTCGACGAGCAGGTCGGCAAAGACCTCGACGTCGTCGCACGCCCTCGCCCCCCGCAGCCGCCGCGACTCCGACACCACCCACCCGAGCACGACCAGGAACAGCAGCAGCGGCCGCACCGCCTCGACCACCACGAAGCCCGCCCTCCCCACGCCGTCGTCGTGCACCGCCGCCGCCATCTCGCGCTTGGCCTCCCTCAGCGCCGCCGTCACCGCCCGCAGGTGCCGCGCCATGAGGCCCAGCAGCGCGGGCAGGTCCCCCGCCCGGTCCCACGGGTCGTGCACGATCTCCTTGCCGTACAGCGAGATGGCCAGCCGCATGGCCGTCTCGACGCCCTTGAGCAGCGCGGCGGCCTCGGAGCCGGGGGTGACGGTGTCGGGCGACGAGGACGAGGACGAGGACGAGGACGAGGCGTCTGGGCTGGCGCTGTCGTCGCGCGCGGGGGCGCCGATGGGGGTCGGGTAGTTCTGGATGAGGTAGGCCATGCTGTAGCGGTCCTCCATCATGGCGTCCGGGTGGAACTGGCCGGTGCCCGTCTCGCGGACGCGGAAGACGGCGACCATGAAGAGGACGGCCGAGACGAAGATGTCGAGCATCTTCTCGTCGGTGCAGCAGGGGAGCACCCAGCGGCGGAAGACGGCCGTGATCTCGCGCTTCTTGTCGTCGTCGACCATGTCCATGACCGACCGGTGCTGGCGGTTGGCGATGGGGAGGAGGGGGTCGAGGGCCTTTTCGGCGGAGCCTGTTATGTCCGCCCTGGGGAAGTGAATCAGTATAAGCTGCTCGTCTTAGTAGGCTCTGCTTGCTTACTTGTATGCTATCCATTTCATCTCCGGGGTCAGGGAGTCTACCCCGCCCGTGCTCTGGATGAATTGGTGCAGCCCGTTCATGTGCATGTGCCATAGATCGTCTCGATTGCTCCAGTGCTAATATCACCTCCGTGTTAAAACTCCATTCTTGAATCTAGACCCAAATGCTTAAATAGCGCTGAGATGACAACTTACAGCTAGCAAGGCCAGGGTGGATATGGCCTGGATCAGGACGTGTTTCCGGTTATCCAGAGACGGCTGCTGCAGAAGATCAACTATGTAGCGGCACAGTCTGGAGTAGTGGTGCATGACCGGTATCGTCTCGATCCCCTGGCACGACGCCTCGTAGACGGCGCCGACGGAGATGGCACACTTGAGGACCATCTCCTCGCTGAAGAGCTTCTCGTAGATGTCCCGGTTCCGCAGGGGGTTGTATGTGAGGATGTGCCACGCCTCGAAGGGGTACGTCCTCCGCGGCAGCACATCGAGGTAGAAGCGCAGGGCCGCCTTGTCCCGGCCCGTCATGGTGAAGGGGACGTCGTGCATGATCCAGCCGCTGATGCATGGCGGCACCCCGGGGCTCTGTTCCTGCGCCTTGGGTTGCTTGGGCTGGACCTGTCTGGGAGGCGGCTGCTGCTGCTGCTGCTGCTGCTCTTCTGGAGATGTGCTTTTCCGCCTCACGACGAGACGCTCCGAGTGCTCCGCGCCCTTTGCGCCGCCGCGGGACTCGCGCCTGGACTCGCTCTGCCTGCGCTTCTCGCTGGCTTTGGAGGGTGCGGGCCGGGCATCCTGGAAGCGGACGCGAAAGCGAGCGGCCTTGGTCTCCCCTCTCCCGCCCTTTGCAGATGGTGCGGGAGGGGAGGTTGCCGACGACGATGCTGATGCCGACCTTGAAGACGTCGACGCGCCGCGCTGGATGACTGTGTTCACAAAGGCCGTATCGCCCTGCTTCTGCTTCAGGACCTGTACATTGTTCCGCGTCCAGACGAGGGTTCCGTTGGTGAAGCCGCCATAGATGTACTCCTGGCCTTGGGGTTGCTGCTGCTGCTGCTGGTCGTCACCTGGTGTTGATTTGTTGGCCATTGAGGCTGCCCGGTGGGCTATTTCCCTCACTGGGGCGGGCCTCGCTGCTTTTTCCCGGGACCCCGCGTGTGTGGACAGTGAGCTGAGAGGGCGGGGGTTACCTCAGTGAAATGGGAGCAGGGGTAGGTGAGAGCGGGATGGAATGTTGATGATGATGCTGATGATGATGCTGATGACGGGGTGAGATGGAGTGTCGACAAGGTGCGTTGAGAGTGGAATGACAAATGCCCCGAGCGGGGGTTGTTGGTTGGTTCGTTGGACAGTCGAGGGGCGCGGGGCTCATGTATTTATCACAGAGAGCAACCAACTAGAGGGACGAGACGAGACGAGACGAGACGGGACAGACGGGACTGTGATAGCGCCGCTCTGCTCTCGTGGGAGCTATCAATAGATTTGAGGGCGATGGCGACGGATCTGCCGTCTCACCACCACACACACTCCACGGACTCACAACCGCAAGCGCACCGCAGCCTGGGGATCAAACCAGTCTCGGGGCCGTCAGCACGAAGACTCAATTCGGGGTACCTAGTCAAATAGGCAGTCTCCTCCGCCCCGCATGTCAGAACTTTCCTTGGGTGAGGTGGGCTTATCGCCAAGCGGCCGACCGATGGGCTGGGCTGTAGGCTGGGCTGAGGCTGGTGGGCTGGCGACGAGAGAGATTCAGTCAGCCCTATGCTCAAGAGCGAGGGGATTGCCAATAAGTACCATAGAATGGATGGTGATGGTGGTGGAGGAGGAGTGGCGGTGGCAGGGTGGTTTGGCTGGGCTGCACTGGTTTTGGCTGCAGTCACTTCGGCACGAGGCCAGAACGGATTGAATTGGATGGAGACGGACGGACGGCTGCTATATCCCGTTCCAGGGCTGTCGTCTGCCGCGACCGCGAGGAGGCGTGTGCTCTCTGGCCAAGATCACGCACGTTTCCTGTTCGTTCCGCTCGGACGGTGGACAGCAATGTGGCTAGCAGCAGGTCAGGGGGAATTAGACGCAGGTTAGTGAAGCAGACTACGGCTGGCCGGCAGGTTGCTGGTGGGTGTGGTATTTGTTTGTTTCGCCTTTATTCGAACATGATCCGAGCGTTGGCCAGGTTTTCACCTCCCTGTTTCAGCCGGCGGAGGTGACCCCTTCTACCCACGTCTGCTCTCTCTCCTATGTACTTACGTACAACCAGCTTGCACAGTACCTCGAGGCCAGACCAACAGTCCTACAGCTCGTACAACAATACTATAGAGGGCCAACTACACGTATGCAGGCATACCCACCGCCAAGTGCCGCGATGATGAAGAGTGGGGAGGAGGGTCCAGCTAATGTGCAGCACTCTTTTCAGCCTGCTCGGCCGCATGCCCCCACGCGAATAACCCCTGGGAATAAAGTGAGAATAGAGTGAGTGAAGATGCCAAGGCGTCAGTGAGCACGGCCAGAGTCTACGGGCCAACCGTGCTGTGCTGTGCTTGTGCTTGTTGATGCCAAGATGGAGAGCGCGTCTCCCATCCCCAGCATAAAACACATGGGCCAGCAGTCAACCGCCGGAATAATTGTGCAATTACCTATGGATGGTCAGTACTTTGCCCAGGTGGTATCAAGTCCCTTCTAGCAGGGATGCTTCCTTGCTGGCCAAAGCCGGTGTAAGGCTGGGCCCAGACGCGTGCTGTGCCTCAGCTGAGAATGCGCGTATTGGCGCGACTAATTCATGCAAATGAGGCACAATCAATTTGCCATGAGTCTGACCCAGTCCCGACAGCGTGGTCCAAGCCAAGAAGTCCCATCCCATGTAACTGCAGCACTCATTCAAGATTTGTCACTACCCATACAGGCGAACAATACAGCCAAGTGTGACGATGGCCCGGGCTTATGCATACGTATTCTTTCCACATACTCTCAGACAGGAGCCCAATAATGCAATTCTTCGGTCGTATTATTATGTACTAGATTCCAGCCCAACTAACTGCCACAATCCACCTATTGCAAGCCATGAGGCTGGCAGGGTCCGAGGTATAGGGTAGTTCATGGCTTTTGGTAGTAGTGCAATGATACTTCCGCGATATCAACCGCCATGTAATTAAATCATCGTCATCTGCCGCATCAACTTCAATGACGATGCCTGTATTGGTGCGATGCTCATTTCTGCGAGACTGGCTCATCCCGACTGCCTGTCTGCGCCTCTGGAAGGTTCCATGAGCAGGAATCTTTGGGCGCTGCACGTGAATTGGCGACGGCTGGTGACGGATGGCGACAGACGGATGGCTGCTGTAGCTCAGGAAAGACCTCACTCCCACCTCACTTTCATGCAGTGACGGGACAGTGAGGGGGTCCTGATAACGGGAAGCTGGATTTTTCTTCCATTTCAAGTCTTCCTCTTCCCTCTCGTGCCGTTTATTTTTCTCTCCTCCCCCAGACGCGGCCTGAACCACAACACCAACGATCTCATCGTGAACACTTGCCGTGCTGGTCGCACAAGACATCGGTTGTTTTTTCTTCCTCATACGCGCATTCGATCCCGACCAGAGATCCAGGCAATGCCATTGATCGTGACTCTCAAAGGTAAGTGACGTTCTCGACCCTTCTCCACGTGCAGCATGGCAGCCAAGATGAGTAAATCGTTCGGTTTATTTCGTTGTATTCATTCCTTGCAGTGCGTCATCCCCTAGTCATTCCCCCGCTCTCCGACGAACAATGTCAGGATAGCATCACAGTGCGGCCGGCAACTCTTCAGCCGGCTGAGAGTCCGCCTGTGATGGACACCGAGGCCTCGCCTGGTCCTGCAGCCTCGCCTGGTGTTGTGGTCAAGGAGCCTGGTGATGAGGCCGAGACTGAACCCCAGACTCAAACCAGCGAACCAGCTCCTATCCCTCATGTCCTTGCACCTATCGTGCTCCGCTACATTCGAGACATCTGCCGTAAATGGGGCGTCGAAAACCTAAAAGAGTTCTTCACCATCCCCCAGGGTGACCCTCGATATCATGACTCCCTCCCTGCCAGCATTCGCCGCACGATAATCACCCGCGAGTTTCTTCAAAAGCTCTGCTACATTTCTGAGCACTGCGACTGCGAGGACGCTCGCTTGAGAATTGCCTCTACCTCCATGAACCAGGCCGAGCAGTTCCACGGATACGTTCGCCCGGTTGTGCTCGACTGGGTCATTGCTAGTTTGGTGAGTCTGGCAACAGACTGTTTCCCCAGACTGTTTGTTTCGTCATATCTTCGCTTTTTCCTTTTCTTCTGCTCTTTTCTCTTTTCTTTTCTTTCCTTCTCTTTTCTTCTTTGTTATTGTCTTTTCTTCTCTATTATTAGCTTTTGTTCTCTGTTATTGTCTTTTCGTCTCTATTATGGCAGTTCCTTCTCTATTATTGTCTTTCCTTCCCTATTATTGTTTTTCAATCTCTTTTCTTTTCTTCTCTTTCTTTCTTTTCCTTTCCTTTCCTTCCTTTCTTTCCTTTCTTTTTCAGTGCGTGCTTTTGTTCTTGGACGAGCTAACAAGCAGTGACGCAGCAAACGGATAAAGGTCTCGTCAATTCGGACAGGCAAGCCAAGATGCCTACTACCAAGGAAAAGATGCAGAAGAAGCGACAGGACAAGCAGAAGCAGAAGGAGAAGGAACAGGCCGGCCAAAGCACCGATCACCCTGCACCCAGCTCCGCAGTTGCAAGCCATCCTACCAGCCAGCCCGCACAAAACGACCAGATCATCTGCCTTTCCGACACCGACATGGACTCAAACTCTCCACCTCCAGGTCCTGCTACTGCTATCGCCAATCCAACACCCACGACAGCACGCTCTGAACCTACGCAGTCGATGCCCTCTGAGCCACTGCCCATGATGGTAAGCCCCGAACCTGCCCAGTCAATCTCCTCTCATCGACTTGCGTCTAGAAACTGACTGGGAGTGCCCTTTAGAATCGAAATGCAAACCAGCAGCCTCAAGGCCAAATCCCCCCGAACCAACAGCCTCAAGGCCACATCCCTCTAGGCTACATGCCTCCAGGCTGCCCCCAAGGTTACACCCCTCCAGGTTACATTGCCTTCAACGGGTCGTTCTACCCCGGCGCACCTCGAACTCAGCCGCCAAACGGACCACCAGCTCCCGCCGCCGCACACCGACCCCTTCCCTATACCCAACCTCCTACATCTGGGAATGCGCCCGTCGCTCCTATGTCTGTAGCCCCTATGCGTGGACAGGTCCGCATGGCCCAGGCTGAATCGAGCGAGCTGAATGCCATCGAAGAAGAAAAGGCCCATCTCATCGCCTGCGTCCACTTCAGAGAGGAGCGCATCCGCATCCTCTCCGTGTACGCGGAGCGCGTCGACGCCTCCCCGCCCCCAACACCACAGGAGAAGCTCGAGGCTGCGTACGAAATGGTGAAGAGTCTGGAGAAGCTCGCGATGCCGCCGGGCATGAAGAGCCTCATCACCGACAAGGCGGACGCGTGGATCCTGGATGTCATCAAGCCGAGCCTCGAAAGGGTCAAGAGAGTGTTCGAGAACCCAGACGGTGGTGAGGGGAATCCCTTTGAGGAGGGTGTGCCCCCCTTCAAAGGGATCAAGACGGAGAGAATGGCGCAGAATTGCGAGATCAACCCCATGCTGGAACGGATCAGGAAGCTCGAACGGATGGCTCGGATGGCCGGTCGTCAGTGAGCAGGTGATCTTTTGTCTCTGGGGTATTTGCCGACGTGGTGTGAAGCTACGACAGGGCAAAAGGACTACGTATGATGGACTGTTTGCGAAGGGGGACGGAGTGTGATATTAGTGATGAACTGCAAGGAGAATGAAGTGTGCTATCAGTGATGATTTGCCGTCCGCACGGGAATTAACACACTGCAATGATGGTCTGGATGCAACGAGAGCTGATGAGCTATGAAGTGGACAACAAGGCAAAACTGGAGGCTTTATTCGTGATTTTATGGAAACCGGCTCGACAGCCCAGGTTACGATAGTTCAGATACGAGAAAAATGATTGACGATTGCACTGCTAAAAGTTCTCCTGCGCCGGACGCATGTCCAGCTCGTGAACCCACAACGACGACGGCTGCCTCGACAGCCAGAGATACGTCTCCCCCACGTCCTCGCCCCTCATGCTGGCCCCCGTCCTCGTCTTGTCGCTGTCCTCGTCGGCGATGGGCCCGTTGGCGATGGCGTGGACGACGTGCACCCCGAACCTGCTGTGCTCCTTGGCGACGGCCTGGGCGACCATGCGCACGCTGGCGCGCGAGGCCCCGTACGACGCGTAGTTCTGGTTGGTGCGCAGGGCGCCCAGCGTCCCCGTGAAGACGATGGTGCCCTTGACGGTGCCGCCCGTCTCGGCGAGCGGGGTCTGCCCGCCGTGCTGGGCGTACATGAGCCGGAGGGCCTCCTGGGCGAAGACGACGGCGCCGGTGGTGTAGGTCTGCATGGTCTCGTTGAAGGCCTCGGGCGTCTCCTCGAGGAAGGGCTTGCGGGCGGCGTTGCGGACGTGGTAGACGGCCAGGGCGAGCTTGAGGTCCCTGAAGGCGGGCTCCTCGGCGATCTGGGCAAAGGTCGCGCGGAGGCGGTCGGGGTGGGTGTTGGTGGCGAAGGCGTGGAGGACGCCGCCGTTGGACGAGGTGCGCAGCTCAACGGCGAGGGTGTCGAGGGCGTCCTTGTTGCGGGCGAGGAGGGCGACGGCCATGTTGCCTTTCTGGGGGTCGGCGAGGACGCGGGCGATGCCTGCGCCTGAGGTGCGGCCGGCGCCGATGATGATGGCGAGACCTTGGGGAGCCATTCTGGAGGGGATGCACGATGGCTGGAGATGAAGGTTGTCAGAAGATCGCGACGTTGCAGTGTGACGTTGAAGTGGGATGTCGTGGTTAAAGTGCGGGGCATCGTCGTCAACAGCCGTCAGCCTACGGAGCCCTCACAGTGGACACCGATGTGCTCTAGATATCCCTATAAAATCGTCGCCTTCTCGTTATGATAGGGGCAGAAAATACTGGTTGGTAGATTGTAAATCACTACAAAGCAAAATGGGCCAGGGCCTGACAATGGTGTTGGGTTCTTGTGATCCGGGCTGACTTCATCCAGCGAGAATTGCACCTAACAATCGACCAAAATTCAAGTAATCCGCCGACCGCATTGGAGTTTTATTAAAGGGTTTAATGAACTTTGGTGGAACTACTAAGACAACATGTTATTAATTTTTGGCTTCAGGCTTGGATTATAATGACATGTCTGGAGAGGTAAGATGAGGTTTCGGCGGAAGCATGGAATGGATTTTACCTTGGTTATAGATAGAGTTTCCACCTTTATGAATACAAGACGTAAAGAATGATACTGTCTAGGATAGGCTTAAAATCATGCTTAGAACCTAGCTTGAACTCAAGACTTTGCTATGTAGGAAGCGCCTCTCATAATATCCACTCACATATGCCAGCTCGCCTTAACTTCCACAGCCTCAAACTCACTTGCAATCCTGCAGAGACTTATCGTCTTGTAAAATCTCATGGGGCTTCTCATTGGGCAGGGGCTTTGCAGCCCTCCGATGCCAGATCCTCAGGTTGTAGACAAGGAGCATCGCCGCGAAGCCGACCTGCATGCTGACCATCGAGAGCATCACGAGCCCGCGCGCCTTGAAGATAATAGCACCTAGTTCGAGAGGAATCTGAGCTATCACACAGGCGTATATCACCACGATCGTATGCCCTATCACTGATAAACAAGGAGTGGTGAGATCTGTTGAGAAAACGGCGTGGAAAGTGGCGATATTGGCCTTTATCGCGGCTACGCGAGCAAGTACCCAGGCGACGTACAAACCAACACCCAATAGTCCCGGACTAGAACTGGGATCCTTCCAGGAAGAGAGTTGAAGCATGCTCGTGGAATGTACTAGGTTCGCCACCAAGAACATCTTGTCGGCCCTGTTCTTTCGCCGTGGAACGTCCTCCTTCTCACACGAGTTGGTCTTAGCATCAGCGATAAGGTCCTCGCCGAGGTAGAAAGACAAGAGATGTAGAAGAAGCAAAGAGCCGATGGATGATCCATATGAGGACCTGCCGGCGAGGCGAAGAGGATCCAGCTCCGTGCCGTCTGAACTAGGTGAGCGATTTTGTCATGTCGCTACTCGGAAATAACATACTTCTGGCGAGATCGTACGGGTAGAGGAAACCAGACAGGATCAGGAAGATCCATTGGAAAGAATGGACGTGGCCAGGTCTCAGGTAAGATGCCAGAGTAGTCAACAGACTACCTACAGCGAGACAGCCTGCGGTTACCATCAGGATTCCCGGAGTCTCAACGTACGGGGGAAACATATTGCCGTTAAAATCAACTGCCAGGAATGTGGCTGAGCTGCTGCAGTTGCAGGGTGTGGTATTTTTCGAGGTGTAAACTTTGTAGGGGGTCGCCAGTCTGGTAAAGGTTATGTTATGTAGTGAAGAAGTGAGAACTGTGAGACAGGGATGAATCGGATGTTTTTATCACGATTCAGGGCTGTGCCCGGAAACAAGAGTAAGCAGCACCCGGTGGAGCATTGATGCGTCATTTAGGCAACATTGAAATTATTTAATTCCAGGCAACGTGCAGTTGGCTCAGCGTCTCTTGTTTAACGTGCTCATTGGCTGTGATCTAACTGTTGGTTGGCATTACATTACCTATTCAGGCCGACATTTGCCATGGAAAGTGGGAACTGGGCGCAGTCAGCGAATTATGAGTAATGCTCGTGCAATCACTGCCTCAAAACTACTGTGATTCAAATCCTTTCTTCAAGTCTCATCTCCACTGACTGTGCTAATTATAGCTGCCAACCAACTCTCTTCCTGCCCCAGTTTAGGGCTCTGTTGATAACTCGTCGGTAACCTCTACCTGTGGTCGTAATCAATGTTTTGGTGCATGGAGTTTTTATGCAGTTTCATTTGAATTTCAAGTAGGTGTTGTAAGGATTCACCGAGAACGGAGGATTAATGCAAGGTAGAATCTCAGGTATTTCCATTCGAAATAGAGAGAGAAGTACATTTAATTCCAATCTAAATCAGCTGAAGTCAGCCTAATTCTCTCTCTTTTTCTAGGCTCTTTTATTTTTTAATTAAGAAATTCGTTGGGTGCATCGATTAGAAGCTATTGAACTCAAAGTATCGTTCCCTTCTAAAAGACTTCTGCTCGAGTCACGAATGTATTTTTTTGTTGAATAGCTAACAACTTTCGTAACGGCATTCTCAAATGACTACCATAACCGCACCAGCTTCCATGTAAGAACGATCAGGACTCGTCAAGCTTGACGCCCACACCCTGGCTGATGACAACATCATACTTCTGTTTGCTCCTCTTGACTGGACTGGGATCGTTGAATATCTCCTCAATCTCTTCGAGCGACCTGCCCTTCGTTTCCACGGTGACGAAATACATCAAAACCCAATGAACAGCATGAAGGACCAAAAAGATGGTATATGTTTTCCAACCAATGTTGCCAAGGGCAATTGGGGTTGCATACATATTTATAAAGCCGGAGAGACCACCCAGGAAATTCTTACAGGCAATACCTTTGGCACGGATATCGTTATTCAAGATCTCAGCTGGGTAAAGGGCCTGGAGGGGAGTCCAAGAAAACGAGCTGACGATGCCGTACAGATAAATCATCGCGATGAAGGCGTAACCGGCCCCGGTCTCGATCTTGGCACCGGCCTTTGCCGCTATCACATTGATGGGGATGTACACCAGACCAGTGAGGAAAACTCCCCAGAGGAGTAGCGGACGACGGCCCAGTCTGTCGACAAAGAACGCACCGGCGATACCTCCACAGAAGGAGAAGATGCTGTTCAGGGCGTTGAGTAAGAGTTGCTGCCTTGCGGATTTTATACCGACGGCGTCAATCATTGTTGGCAAGTAGTAGGATATGACCGACCCTCCTGTGAACTGATTGAAGACTGCGACCATCAGGATAATCCACATTCGATAGCGGGCTGGTCGGCTATTGAAGAGCACGCGGTAGTCCCACCACCTGCTCTGGCCATGTTCTGATTCGCGCTCGGTGCCTAGAGACTGCTGCATCTCCTCAAACTCTAGTCTTACGACCGCTGAGTCTGGATCGCCTTCACCGTGGTATTTGACAAGAATTTCACGGGCCTCATCTTCTCTTCGCTTGGCACAGAGCCATCTAGGACTCTCCGGAAGCAGCCAGACCGTACAAGCAACGATGGCAGCTGGTACAGCCTGAATGATGAGCGGGATGCGCCAAGACCACTGATTTGGCATCAATCCAGTTCCATAACACGTCCAAGTTGCGGCTGCGGCGTATTTTGTCAGCTTCATGGTCGTGCCTAGAAAGTCAAACACAGTGATGGGGAAGACCTACTAATAGCTCCCAGATACCAGCCAAACACGTTGTATGCACCACCTGCAAGACCTCTCCATGTCGGGTAGGCCATTTCTACAAGATAGGTCGGTGCAGCAGTAACACAAATAGGAACACCGAATCCAACCAGATACCGGCCACCGATGAATTGGTTGAGGTTCTGGTTGGCAGTTGTCGCCTGCACTACCGAACCGATGATGATGAAGCATGCTCCGATGAACATGGCTACTTTGCGGCCGAAGTTATCGAGGATCAGACCTGCAAAGAACGAGCCAGAGACTTGCCCAACAGGGTAGATGGCAGTTACAAGGCCAATCCCCGATCCTGTTTTGCCGATGCCGAAGTACTTGTGCCAGGTATCCATCGCGTTGATACTGCCCATGACGCTTCCGTCGTATCCGTTCATGATACAGTCTGATTCCCCAGGTCAGTGTTCAGGTGGCAAATCAGGATGAGTAAAGTTAAGACCTACTGAGGGTGCAGAAAACCATTATCCCGTAGAGCTTAAACTGGGCGGCGGTGGTGTACTTTGGCGAATCCTTAGCCACCGCGTCGGCAAGGGCGACAGATTCAACCTTGCGGTGGGCGACTTCATGACCGCCATTGTGCTTCCTTTCACGAGCGGAGCCGGTTTCATTACCCATTTTTGCAATGAAACATGAAAATTCGTTGGTAGATGCGAGAGCTCATAGGGAAAGTTGTTGGTCTATATAAGCGAGCCATGGCCATAATTTTTCCGGCCAAGAGGCCTTGAGAATGATATTGAGCAGGGTTCCCCACACCTTCAGAGGCAGAAGGAGATACATAATACCGGTGGGCAAGAGTGGTGAGTGAGCTACAGCTCGAGACAAGATCCGGCCTGTTTCAAGCAACCGCTACTATTCATTGGCGGCCCAAGGTCTTTTGAGCGTCATTGAAGCAAGTCTCGCGCCATCAACTACGATATAGCATTCGATCCCAGTTTTTCTTTATGCACATTCTCCAACGTTACAACGAACTCACACGGGTGTGTCTTTGAGACACAGGTGTGGGTGGCGAGATGTTCTCGGCTAAATACAAAATCACACAACCCAGAAACACCCCTTCCCAACAAAATCCAGGCTGAGGCTTCCAAGGATACGGTTCTTACCCCGCACACTGACATCTAAGTATGATCATGGGGTATACCTTGGCGTGGAGGGTAATGTTACCCTCTCGGCGGGTTATGACACCGAGAAATCGGCTTATTTTTACTTCAACGTAAATTTAGCCAACTGTATTGGTCGCTCTGATCATGTGACTCCAATTGGTTCTGTTCTCTCAAAATCTTCATTGACTGACTGTTGAGGGAGCTTAGATTGCATGCTATAAATGTTTGTTTACGCCCCGGACGGATTGAGATCCCATGTCTCTTCAGTCTAGGATACCTATGAAGATTTACCTCGATGAATCGGATTTCAGGCACGAATGCATGGTTATAATACCACCGACAAGGCCACCCTCGTCAGTTGCTGAGACTTTTCGATCAATTAAGCAGTGTTAGAAGTTTCATGTGCTCTTCATACTTGGGACCCCCGGGTCTACGCTAGTAATCATAGATGTGTTCGCGGTCAATGGCCTTACTTTACGAATCCTTTTCTATTTTCCTCTTCTCACTTTCATAATTATGACAGACGTCATCGGATCTTAGAGTCCCTTATTCTCTAAATTCCTTTGCGAATAGTTGAATGGACAAGAAGTCTGACTTATCTGGATAATAATTGTGGAGTTGCAATGAGTCATAGCAGAGTTGCAGCCTAAAAACTGTCAGCAGAAAGGCGTGATCCTGGCGGTCAGCTTCCCAACAACAGCTCAGCCAAACTACATTGCTCGTGAGAATATATACACCAGAAAGAGGCGACACCAAGGTGGGATTCAATCATGGCGGACCAAAATGCAAGTACCGCCTCTTCTGGGCCCTCCCAATCCCCGTGCATCACCAATCTCATCTCATCCTACGCAATTCTACCAACCTTGGCTTCGTGGCTATCCTCGGTCGATCTCTATCATCTTGGCCTGACGAGCCGCTACCACCACTCATGTATTCTAGCATCGCCTACTCTGTTCAAGAAACTGCAACGGCTATCTCTTTGCGACGGCCGCGGCCTTGCTCTCCGCCAGGAGTTCAAGCCCCCATTTCCCAATGATTGGAGGAGAGCAGGGAAGTGGACCACCAACCCGGGATTTACTGCCGATGAGGAGATCGAGGTTTTTCTGTACAATGCCAAATGCGATGAAGCCGGAGCCCTGCCCTGCATCAAATGCGGCATCAATATTTGCGAAGAGTGTCGATTTTACCGTCGCGCGGCGCCGCCTCCATGGTATCCTGATCGGCGTCCACATCTGAATTCTCCTCACCAGGCTGAGAATATCATGTGTCTATGTCCAGAGTGTGATGCCGAAATGGACAAGGAGCTTTCTGGGAAATTTCTCAACGAGCTCTGCGATTGCGATCGGTACACCCGTTGGATCTGTACTCGGTGCATTGTGGAGGAGAGGAAATTCACGAGGGACTACTTTGAGGAACACACCGTGTTTGAAGGTAACGAGGAAGAAACCAAGTGGTTGTGGGATCATCAATTTTCTCGCTCCGTAAGTTTATACCCAAACTCCCACCCCAATTCTCCGCAGTTTTGTTACTAACAGCAATCGATATTTTAGTTCTGGTGTCTATGCGGTTCTCCTGTGCCTCAAGATAGCCGAATACGGTGCACTTGGTGCAAAAGGCGCCATCTCCCAGAGGATCAATGGTTGGTAGAATACGACGAGGTCGGATCTAAACTACCCTTTTTCGATAATGTAGGTGCACTCATCGTGAACTTCACAATCGTGTTTTTGTTCAAGCTAATCGTTGTTTCCAGAACCCAGATTATCCTCGCTGGACAGAAGATGAGGATCGAAAATACGTGAAACCTTATCCTAAACTTGGGTATCACCGACCAGGGGACGATGTGTCAACGAGCTAGAGGAATGCCGATGTAGCTCAAAGATACCTTGCGGGAACGTAAGAAATGGTTACAGCGCGGAACATTGACGGTAATCGTGCGCTGCGCTATATATACACTACTATACTACACTTGTCATACCATGACAGCTCCCTATAGCTTAGCAAGCATTCCATGGCTCTTCTTTATCCAAGCAGCCGCATCAGTAACAAACTCGTCAACAACAGCCTTAGCAGGTTTCAACTCATTGACAACAGCAGCGCATTTGCCCATCAGGAACTTGTCATACTTCTCAAGCTCGTCAAGCCTGGCCTCGTCATCCTTGACGCTTGCAACGTCCACATCCGCGTCATAAGGGATGACCCCCTTGGCCAGAAGCGCCTGCTGCTCCTGCTTGCGTTCATTCTCCCACTCGACCAGATACGGGTTGCTCCTCACCCGCATAGGACGGCCGCTGTAGACAAGGGTCCGGATATTGTCATCGTGACCGGCAGTACGGACAATCTCCTTGTGGTAGTCCGTAGCCCCAGCCTCTTCAGTAAGGATGAACCTGGTGCCCACCCATACTCCACTGGCACCCATGTTGAGGGCTGCTGCCAACAGCTGGCCATTGTGAATACCACCGGCGGCCACAACCTGCACGGGTTGCCCTGTGAGCGGCGACGTATGACCCTTGCAAGCTTCCACAGCAGCTGGGATCAGGACCGTAGTTGGGGTGTCACCCGTGTGACCTCCTCCTTCGCCACCTTGGGCACAAATAATGTCCACGCCGAGGGCGAGACACTTCTTGATGTGCTTGACGTGGCCGACCATGTTCATATAGACGATGCCATTGGCGTGTAGCTTCTCAACGACAGCCTTGGGAGGTACACCAACAGCGGAGACAAAGAGTTTGGCTCCCGAGTCGATAATGGCATCGATGAGCTCGTTGAGCTTTCCTTTTGTGTAGTCGTAGCTAAGATCTACATGTCAGCTTCGTTTTTCTTGCCATCCATTTTGCACTGGGTCGCAATTCATCACGCACTTGGTCTTCCTCGCGTTTCCTCCGATTTGGGGTAGGAGGAGATCGATACCGAATGGAGCGTTCTTGTCAACAAGATAGCTCTTGAGTTCGGCGATCTGCTCGCGGAGCATGTCAGGCGTGTATCCGAGACCGCCGATGACACCCAGACCTCCAGCATTGGAGACGGCGGCTGCTAGGCGGGGGCCAGCGGCGACGTTCATGCCTGCCAACAACACAGGGTGATTGATCTTGAAAAGATCCGTGAGGGGAGTCCGGATCTGCTCTGTAGAGGGAACATAAGAAATGAGGGTTAGTAATCAGGCCGTCATCAGGTCATTACTGGAACACGGAGAGCTACGTACGAGGGGAAGCCATGATGTTAGCACGAGTGGGCAACGCGCGGTCCGAGTAGAGATGGGTATATCGCGGTAGGTGAAGATGAGGGATTCTCAATGTAACAGCAAAGGTTTTAGGTGTCGTGTCTGTTGATCGACGGAAGCTTTATTGTGCCCCATGGGGTCAGTTCTGTCAAAAAGCGGGTGGCTGAGTTAGTCCTTTGCCGGCCAGATGCCTCGGCACGGCGAGTTAATTATGGGGCGTCACTTTGCCGACTCGCCGACTACGCCGATTAGTAAACTCCAACGCAGAGTGTGATGTTGTATATATTGTTTGTAGCTAGTTTCATTAATTCTATCATTTGCTGCCAGTCTAGCGCTTTTGAAAAATATAGTAGAAATTAACTCTGGTATTTTCTCTTGTTCCGACCATAGGTTTCTGCTGCCCTTTGATCGAAGTATGTTTCATACCTAGTTCGTGGCTCGCCATGGGACCAAGAAGTTTGTGACTTTTCGATAATCCAAACCACTATGATTGAATTCCAGCAAATGCCAGTACGAGATATCAACTCCCGAGGTAGTCAAGCCAAGAGTGTTCCTGAGGGCCGCCTGTAAAATTTCTCATGTAAGCATCTCGAGACCAAGGACAAATCGCCTCGACGTCTTCGTTATTTTAGTAGTCATGACTGGTGAGAAGGGTAATTGGAGGTAACAATCATGGCAAAGATTCCATAATACAGCAGTTTTTTAGAATTGGGTTTTTAGCTCAGAATCTCGTTGTTGCCTCTCTTGTTGGAATGTCATAGAGGGAGAGAGTGAGCGCTTGGGAATGTCCAGGGCTTCGAGGGCCATGGGATGAGGAAGAATAGTAGGAAGAGACTGTCTTCAAATAAAGTAGTCCCGAGAGAAAGTGAATGGAAGTGCGTTAGTTGTTGGAGAACAGGCCGAGGAGTATGCACGGGCCATGCTCAACCTTAGTGTGTGGAAACCACTGGTAGTTCTTCAAATCTATTCTCACCGCAAAAAGCCACCATGTTTATCTAATCTAGAGACCCAAAGACATGAATCATTCTCAAAAGTCCCACGATAAGGAGAGGCCAGCGGCCGACGAAGGCAGGTGCTTGTAAGGGTTGAGACAGACTGCAGACGTTGAAGATCTTTTCTCAACTTGTCTCTTCTTCCGTCTGTCTATAACGGGACACCGTGGCGACGTGTTACGAATTGAGGTTTTCCCACTTCAATAGGTAAACAAAGACTTACTATTGCAGCTCTATCTAAAGACCCTCAAACTAACCAAGTCTTAAGGTAAAGGAGGTGGCAATTTCATTAAAGCTAGAAGCGGCCTAATTAAGTTGTAAACCTTATATCCGTGTCTTCCATTCCAATGCTCGAGTCCGATAGCTACCCTATGACCATGAAGCTGATCCAACGGATGCGCTGGAATAAGCCAGCGGAAGAGAGTGGGTGCTTTTCCCCGCCACATTTCCAGTATCTAGGAAGAACCTTGATGGGTTATCTTCTCATTGTCTGAATTGGAAGGAGAAAACATTACAGGAATGAGTAAGGGAAAGAAGTCGGAGCACGACCCCGGGTTGTTAGCAGAATATCAGAGAATATAACTACTGACCTAAAGTCGAACAAAAGTCCGTGGGTCTCCGTACATTCCATTGCACGCCCAATATGTATACGATATACCTTCAGTGTGATCAGATAAGGGAGCTACCGAGGTCGGACAGAGCAAAGGTATGGCAACTGAATCAGGGCCTTCCCTTTGGGGAATCGGGCGAGTCCACTGTCGGTGCGGACTCGGATGGGGCACCAGCAAGGGTCATTCTCCATCACGTCAGTCGCAAAAGCCCCGTATTCAAAACAAAGGTACTCACCCATCACATGTTTCCACAATCGAATGTCACTGGGCAGCAGAAGATGCGTCGAGACGGACTCGATACCCTGTGGCAAGGCTGAGGGGATCAGCCCCTCCCGCTATGAGACCACACCGACTATTATATGGATTCAAGGGATACAATTATTATTACATATTCCCATGCGACATCAAATGGGGAATATGGCCTTGAAATGCGAATTTCTGCAAATAGAACTTCGCCATTGTCTCGCGTGGGTCTCTGGCTGATCGACATCGCGTCTTCCAAAATGCCATCCTCTTGATATCCGTGATTCACCTCCAAGCGGAGTCTTCGTCTGCCCATGACACGATGATCATACTGTTGATTAGGAAGGAGTCACAACTGTCATTGGCCTAACCTTATGGATATAGTCTGTATGCGCAGAACCTTTGAATTGAACACAAGTTGTCTATTTTCGTTGTCCTTTTTGCGTGGAGCACGCATCTTCAATTGGGACCAGGGCGTTGGCTGAATGGGATGGCCTCACCTCCGGTGAACACCATATGTCCACTGTTTGGAATGGATGAATCTTGGGGTGTTGCATTCCCCATGCTGACTACCTACTCGCGGCAGTTCTTTTCTTAGCTACCCAAACGACTTGCTCAGGCAGCTCTGGTTGGTCATGCCGCATTTGGGTGTCAGCCATACACGGCCCTGGGTTGGGGTTCCACTGGAGCGCGTAACTTAGCGGAGCGCTTCAGAGTGAAGGAAGCGTGTGTGACAAGGATTGTGGCGGCTCCCATCTTTTAAAGAGACAGTGACAGTCGATCCATCTCTTGGGTCAGCAGCTAGACCCGATCAGTCGATTCTTCCAGATAGCAAAAGCCCCCAGCTGCCGTTTCAAGGTTAAAGGAAGGCAGTCAGCCGTCCGGCCAACTTGCTCGGGAAGGCCCAGGTAAGTTGACTACGTAACTGCCATGAAACTCGGCTGTCGAGCTGAGTGGCATTAAGGCTGTGGAGTAGGGGGCCCGTATTCCCTTCGCAATCTCAAACAAAGCCTCATCCGCCAGCGTGAATGCCGAACAACGAAGCACCAAGCACCATCCATCGCTACATTCCACTGCTCTACATTTAAATAATGAATTCAGATGGGAAAAGGTGGCTTTCCGGGTAATCAATTCCCTGGAACCTCAGCTGAGCGCAACTGTTCAGTCAGCGCGCGGCTGAATCGTTTCAGGGGTGAGGCAATGCTCGGGCGGTTTCAGCGAGGCCACACAGGTTCTGTTAATGCCCTGGTACTGGCCTCATTTAACATTGTAAGAGATCGACACTGACACCACTCCACCAACATCCACCCCAGCGCATACTCCGTGGCTAGGCTTCATCTGGAAGGCGGCTACAGGCGACATTCAAAGCTCGGAAACGTCTCAGACCAAACCAGGACGACGACGACGATCAATCTTGAATCCGATGCTCGACAAGAAGCGTTTCCAATTGTATATAAGCCTGTTACGTTCTCCCCCTTCAACATCGTACTCAGCACCTCCTCAACCAGCTTCAGCAAGACGAGCACCAGCAGGACATTCTTTCATTCACTTACAAGACTCCCAATCAACGATTCTTCGTTCAGCCAACAGTCAAGATGGCTCCCAAGATGTCTCTCGTCGCTGCCGCTCTGGCCCTTCCCGCCGTCTCCATGGCCGCTGCTCTCCCCTCCGACGCCTCCGTCCAGGTCGTGGGTGGCACCCCTGCCTCCGCTGGCGACTTCCCCTTCATCGTCAGCTTGTCTAGCAGCGGCTCCCACTTCTGTGGCGGTGTTCTGATCGATGCCGACACCGTCCTCACGGCCGCTCACTGCTCTGTTGACACCTCGGCTTCTTCTGTCAAGGTCCGAGCCGGATCTCTTGTAAGTTGCTATTAGGAGCCTGTTTCCTGCAAGCAATGAAATTTGAGACTAATCGTATCTGTGATAGAAATGGGCTTCTGGTGGCACCCAGGTTGGAGTCTCCAAGATCACCGTCCACCCTGACTACGACTCATCTGTCATCGACAACGACGTCGCTGTCTGGAAGCTGTCTTCCCCTATCCAATCCGGCAGCAACATCGCCTACGCCACTCTCCCCTCGTCCGGCTCTGACCCCGAGGCTGGTTCCACCGTTACCGTTGCTGGTTGGTAAGTAGTTCCCAACACTTGAGACATCTAAGCCGAGTTGAAAGACTAACACGCTTGTTAATAGGGGTCTTACCTCCGAGAGCGGCTCTACCCTCCCCGCCAGCCTGCTGAAGGTCTCTGTGCCCGTTGTCTCTCGCTCCACCTGCCGCTCTCAGTACGGCACCTCAGCCATCACTGACAACATGTTCTGCGCCGGTGTTGAGGAGGGTGGCAAGGACTCCTGCTCTGGTGACAGCGGTGGCCCCATCATTGATGAGTCCAACACCCTCGTCGGTCTCGTTTCTTGGGGCCAGGGCTGCGCGCAGGCCGGTTACTCTGGTGTCTACGCCAGACTCGGCTCCCTGGTGTCCTGGGTCAACGCTAACATCTAAGCACGACAGCTCACGAACAATATCCCAACGTATATATCACCAGGGATCATGACATGTACATAAATGCTTTTTTAGCTCATGGAAATAGAGGAAATACAAATGTGATCAATAATCAAAGAGCCATGTGAATCAAGTCGATATGTAATACGGCGGCTCCCGTCCATACCTGCATTTTAGTTGAAAAAAATGAGCGTTGCAGTGATCGGCAACCCAACCAACAAGTCTAAGAAACCCCCCGGATTTCCAAGAAGCAGTTCTATCAAGTTCATCTTCGTGAACCCTCCGTTTAATATTTGTCAAAAAAGAGAAATAAAGAAAGAAAAAAGACAGAGGGATAGCATGGATGTTGACATTCTAATTAAGACCGCGTCTGATGAATTCCATGAGACTCAATGACAAGGGAAGATCACACGGGAGATCACCAAAAGATATTTGACAAGACAAACTTGGGGCAGATTGAGTGAATTCATTAATCTTTTTTTAGATGTAGCTCTTTAAAATATCCACTCGTTCCCCAAAATCTAGTGGGAACAAGCTTAAACTTGGTTCCAATTCTACGATTACCTTTGAAGATCTGACGATCACAGCGCCGATCAGAAGCAGATTACATTGCTGAGTCAAGATAAGACTCAATAGGCTGGAACTTGGACACACGCCAATGCCCGATTGTTTGGGAGATGTTCATCTCCTATAGCAAGTTTAAAGAGTGATCATTTGTTGTCACACATGAATGCAACCAGGTAGTGAGAGAGATCCCCGCGTGTGGCGGACACCGTCTCCCATCCTATGCAGCAATCTTCGATTCGATTGTTTCACCAGTGTGGAATGGCTCCTACCTGAGTACTCACCGAGGATTTACTTTTCCTTGATCAATGAAGCTCCATGAGGAAGCCAAAAGAAAATTGGCAAGAGGTTCGGCTTGGAAAGCGAGGCAAGGAAACTTTGAAGAGAGTTTCAGTGTTTCTGGACATTGGGAAAAATTAGCAAGAGGTTCAGCTTATTCTGGAGACAGGGGAAAGTTAAAGAGAGTTTCAGTGTTTCGGCAGTCGTTTCGGAAAATTGAAGAGAGGTTCAGTATTTCCGTCAGAGGTTTGGTGTGTCAGAGGTTCAGTAATTGGCGTAATGATATACTGTGTCAGAGGTTCAGTATTTCGCTCGTTGGTGTGTTGCGTCAGAGGTTCGGTATTTCGCTACTTCGTACGTTGTGTCAGAGGTTCGGTCTTTCGGTCGATGCTATGCTGTGACGGAGGTTCGGTATTTTGTCGTAGGCGATGCTGTAGCAGAGGTTCGGCGTTTTCGTCTGAGGCTCGGAGGAATGCGTTCGGGTTCTGCTCTGAAGCCTCGCGGGTGTGCGTATCGGGCGGCGTCACAGCGGTCGCAGGAATCGTCGTCGGTAGTTAGTAGTAAGCAGCCAGAAAGTGAGGGATGTTCCCAGTGAGTATGTGCTAGTTACAGGGTTTGCTCTCCACCTTACACTATCTAAGTCGATTACCACCAGAAAGCAACAAACAGGGCACAGTTACAACCGAAGAATGGGAGAAAAGGAAATACCACCTGTCCTGAGCCTAGGAAAGTTGTCGATGAGGCTTTTGTGGCGTGAACTGACGCCAGTATCGTGCAGTTACGTGTAGCGTCGAGCGAAGTGTGCGCAAAAATGTGCAGTATGCGTCGTTTGCAAAGGAGAGGAATCCAGGCTCTTGAAAATGCATAAGCAAAGGATCAAGAGGGCTCGATGCGGTATCGACGGCGAGGAGATTCGATCACTCCTTCTTGGAGCTGGCGGCGTCTTCCGAGGCAGGCTCAACGATGATCGGGGCAACGATGGAGGGAGCGGTGACAGGCTCGATTTGGTCGGGGGTGATCACAACTGGCACGGCAGGGGCTGGAACGGAGACGGTTGTCGGAGATGCGGTCTTCATTTCAGAGGTTGTCATGACAGACTGATCACCAGCATGTGCTCCAGCTTCCGAGTCATCCTTCTTGGGATTCTTTCTCTTGAAAAGTCTCCCAAAGGAACGAAAGAAACGGGCCAGGAGACGATAGACGATGACGAAGGGCTTGCCTACAAACCTTACAATGCTGGTGAACCATGCATCGGGGAATATGCGTACAACAACACCCCACGGAATGGACATCAACGCAACGATGATGGAGATCGCCCACTGAGGGCCATTGAGACCCCCAGGTTTGATTCCAAAGACGCGCCCGCCGATGAAGACGATCAGCAACTGGAGGCCGACCATCAACAGGTTGATGAAAACGAAAAAATAGTTGCGTTGGATGCCCTCAAGGACGTTGAACTTGTTGTCCAGTCGACGATTGTTGAACTCGTTGAAGATCTGCATCCACACAAACAAGTTGAAGATGAGAGTATCAAGCTGCAACATCATGTCTTCGTCCTGGCGATCGTAGTTCAGGATTTCGGGACCTGCAAAGTAGAAGATTAAGCTGACAACAAGCTGGAAAATAGACTGTCCAATGATCATCTTCCACATCTGTACAGAACTTTTTAGCATTGTGCATTTCAGGTCTGAGAAGCTGGGATTTGCTCACATTCATTGTAATCAGCGGCGCCGATTTGCCTTGAGGAGGGCGGTCCAGGATCTTATCTGTCGGAGGGTCCGTGGCGAGAGCCAACGCCGCAAAAGTGTCCATGATCAAGTTGACCCAAAGGAGCTGAATAGCTGTGAGGACAGGTTTCATGGTCGGACTGTACATTGACGTGACAAACGCCAGAATCACGGCCGTGATGTTGACCGTAATTTGGAACTGTGGACTCGTTAGGATCAAAGCAGTCTTCTCGTTATCCAACCGTACTCACTTGAAGGAACTTCTGTACTGCATCATTGACAGCTCGACCCCACTTGAGAGCTGTCACAATCGACGTGAAGTTGTCATCCATGAGAATAATAGCTGAAGCTTCCTTGGCTACTTCAGTACCGGAAATTCCCATAGAAAATCCTACATCAGCAGCCTTCAAAGCTGGTGCGTCGTTCGTACCATCACCGGTGACAGCGACCGTCTCACCCATTGCCTTCAGTTTCGTGACAAGGATGCGCTTGTCTTCTGGAGACGAACGAGCGAGAACTTGAAGTTTCGGGAGTGTCTCGTTCATTGCCTCCTCGGACAGCTTACGGAAGACTGGGCCTTCCATGACAATGCCGCCTGTGTAGATGCCGCATTCCTTCGCGATGGCCTGGGCAGTGATGATGTTGTCTCCAGTGACCATCCGCACAGTAACGCCAGCATGCTGTGTCTTCCGAACAGCTTCTGGAACACCAGGGCGAACAGGATCCTGAATCCCTACGACACCGAGGAATGTGAGGCTGTTCATAACTGAATCGATTTCAACGTGGCCGTCATCAACTTTTGCTTCTGCCGGTGGCCACTGTCCAAAATCCTTGAAAACGATGGCAATAGTGCGAAGAGACTTTTTAGCGTACTTGTTGATCGTGTCTCGGATGAGGTCGTGCTGGAGAGGCAACTGATCCAAAGAGTCAACGTCCAGTTGAGTCGAGCAAAGCTCCAACAAGATTTCCGAGGCTCCCTTGACCAACAGACGATAGCGTGGCTTCTCATCTTGCTGGATCTTGATCACGGCGGCCATGTACTTCTTGCTGCTGTCAAAGGGGATGATTTGCACGACCTCTTCGTTGTCGCGAGTCTGAGCGAGAGACTGCATTCCAAGATGATCCTTTGCGAGCTGAAGCAAAGCAGTCTCAGTCTTGGACCCAATGAAGGTTTCTTGACCGTCCTGTGTACCTTCAAAAGCAGTGGAATTGATGGCGACGGACTGTGTGATGATCTGCTTCGTGCTTGCTGGCAATGCTGAGGACCATTTGACCGAGGACTGTTCCTCTGCCAAGTCTGCCTCCAAGTCTGTGAAACTCGTGGTACCAAAGCGTCCAGTCACGACCGTCATCTTGTTGGTTGTCAACGTTCCAGTCTTGTCCGAACAAATAGCGGTTGCGTTGCCCATCGTCTCACACGCTCGCAAGACACGGACCAAATTGTTTTCCTTGAGCAATCTGGTTGTTGCGAAAGCCAATGCCAATGTGACAGCCAGGGGAAGCCCCTCTGGAACAGCCACAGCGACTATAGCAATTGCAACAACCAGCATATCGACGAATGTAGAAGCTCGCTCATCCGCGGTCTTCCCATCAGTGGGCAGCTGCGCGAGAAAGCGGAAAAGCAGGATGAAGAACATGAGGGCAGAAGCACCTCCGCCGAGCTTTGCAATAGCGATAGCCAGCTTCTCCAGTTTCTTCTGAAGTGGTGTAGCCTCAATATCTGTCCGAACTGACATCATGATCTTGCCAAAGCTGCTATGGACTCCAACCGAAGTGCACACGATCGTTCCCATGCCTTCAAGAACTCTGGAACCAGAGATAATGAAGGGGTCGAGATCTTTCATGCCACCCTGCTTAGATTCAAGAAGCTCATAGACCTTGTCTCCAGGTGTCTTGCGGAGAGCATCAGACTCGCCAGTGGCAGAGGACTCATCACACTTCACATCGTGGCCGCTGATCAGGATACCATCAACCGGGACCATGTCGCCCGGCTCAACATACAAGACATCGCCAGCCAGAATCTCGTGGACATTGATAAGAACCGACTTTCCAGAACGAATGGCCTTGATCTCACGATCTTCCTTTCGCGTGTTCAGCTTCACAAATGCCTTTTGCTTTTGGTAGTCATTGTGCGAGCCCACGACTACCACGATGACGACGGCAGCGAGAATGGCGACACCCTCGACCCATTTGATTTTCCCAGACGGGTCATCATCATGGGTGACGCCAAAAGTCTCGTAGAGACCGAGAGCGAGCGAAATGACACCAGCGCCTGTCAGAAGGAACAAGACAGCCTCGTTGAATGCCACCCACATCAGCTTCCAGAGGGGGTCTGGCTTCTTGGCCGGGAGCACGTTCTTCTTGAACACGCGGATCCGATCTGCATGCAGATTTGATCCGGAGCCATGATGATGTGCGCCGGCTGCAGCCTCGTGGGTGGGTGCTGGCAGCGAGCCCTTCCCCTTGGCGGCATGCACTGCCTCGTCGAACGTGACTCTTGCGGGCGCAGTTGTCTCGTCGGCACTAAGGCCTGAGTGAAGATCAGTCTGCAGTCCACGCGCAATGCCCCGAAGACCGCCCAGCGCACGAAAGGCCGGGAGCGACTTGGGGTTCAGGAGCTTGTTCAACTGGCCGGGAGAAAACCCAAAAGGATTGTTCTCCACGTGGAAGTCGGCCTCGGTGCCCGGGTCTGGGTGCAAGGCAACCTCGGCTGACTCCTCCACAATGCTGGGAGCAGCAGTTGTGCCGTAGGGCGTGAGGAGAGGGCTTTGGATGGCAGTGGAGGAATTGACAGTGTCCGCGTTGCTCAGGGAGCGTTGCCGCGTGTTTCCTGCAAGGGAATTCGGGTCAAGAAAGTCGTTGACCATGGTGGCTGACAGCGGAGAGAGGGGGAACAGACGAAGGCTGACCAAAAGATCAAGTGATAAAGGTCAAGAAGTATAATCATACAGCCGTACGTTTGCCACCGAGGTAGGGGCAGTGACAGATGAGGCGACTGCGCAGGAGGTCTCAAAAACCAGAAACTCGTGGGTTCACTCGAGGGAAAATTCGAAGCTTTTATAGACGACTCGGGAGGCTGGACTGGAAGGCCTCCCATTGCCAGTCACGTATCAATCATCATCACCAGGACTGGCCGAGGGTGACAAGCACCCTGATGCCACGCTCAGGCATCGGCGTTTTCGCAGATGATACTGACCGCAACGTCGACATGGAGGGCACAGCCACAATGGATCACGACGAAATGGACACCAAAAAGCAAATCAACGGTGGGGATTCGCAACATTACCCATAGAAAAGGGGGGGTGCAATGGCCCAAGAGGCCTCTTCATCATATCAGAATGCAGGAAGTGGCGACGTGATTGCCAGGTATGTGGACAGGGGAGACAGTCAGGCGTGGATCGCGACGAATTGAGTCATTTTCTAATTGGATTGCACGGGCTTTTGCGACAGCTGGATCCAGGTGGTTAATGACCAAATGAAACTGGGGTTGGCCGCAAAAAGATGTCATGAGTGGTGAAAAGCGAGCGCCAAGATGATTGATCTCGAGCTAGGGTTATCAATCAGCAATTCTTTTGGCAATGCTCCTTCGGCTACCACTCTAGTGTCTCCGTGCAGCACTTTAACACTCGCCGATCGGCTAGACGGGGGTCGGGTGATAGAGATTGCAGCTGGCTAAAGCACACAATTGAGACCTTCGCACATCGGAATTCCGAGGACCGGCCAAGCACAATTGTTTGGCCCTTCAACAGGTGGATAAGAACGGGCGAAAGGATGAGTGGTAGCCCACTCAAGGTAGACACGATGTCACCAAGCCCAGCTCAGCAGATGATGAGTGTTGAGACCTCTTGAGCACTCGTGTCTCAGCTGAGCAAAGGCTGCCGTTTCCCTCCCACCTCGTCCTCCTTCCCCGCTTCCGGCTCCCACATTCAACATTGTACCTATCCACATGTGTTGTATCGCGTTGGTGCTAAACTAGTTCAGCAAGGCGTGTTGCCTCCTGGTTGGTGTGTCGAGGGACGAAGAAGGAGGGGCGAGGAGTCAACCGAGCTGGAGAGGAGACAAATTGGTTGCATGAGGCCCCACGACAAGCGCCGCAAATCAAGCTTAACACAGCGCAATTTCTCCGAGCTGGGCCTCTCGTCATTTGAGCCTGTCCATGTTGGGGTTGTTATTCTTTGTCAGGATTTGTCACCAATATCACCATGATCGAAAAGGGAAGAAGGAACCAAAGTGAAAAGAAGACCTAATTTACTGGGAGCTTTGGGTCTCCCTTCTATTGCTAATCAGGTGAACAAAAGCGCTGCTTGTCTTGGCTCCCCATCGGCAACCCCGTTTCCATTCCATCCGTCCCTGATGCCCCTGACAGGGGTAACAACAAGATTTCTTGTAGCTACCCTATATCACACCCTTGACCACTTCTCGAAATGCTCCTTTTGCCTCTATATTACATTATGGAATTCTATGTTATTTTGCAATTTGTTTGTTCTTCTTCTTCTCCTTCTCCCCCTCCACGTATTCGGCCATAGGCGGTAAGCGAGGTATTAGAGAACCAACCTTAGACAGCTTTCGTACTCTCCTGGCGTTGATCCTTCTTAACGCTGATCCACTCCATGCCAAGTGAAGCAAACAGTGCCAGCCCGGAAATGATGATTGAGACTAGGAAACACTGTCGTAGTCCAAGGTTATATGCTTCTAAAACGCCCCGCGCTGTCTCGCTGCCGAATTGTTCTGTTATAGCTGTCCGTAGACCAGTCGCTCCATGTTCAATCACGATCTGAGGATCCAGGTCCGGAACCCTGGATGCCAATTCTTTAATCAGCTTGGCCTGGAAAACATTTTGCCCCACAGCAAGGAAGATAGAGCCACCCATAGATTGGGAAAGGACCATAGCTGAGGTGCCCATGGAGATGTCACCTCCTTTGAGTACGGTTTGTACGGCTACTAGAGGCATCTGAAGGCCTGAGCCAATGCCGAACCCAAAGAGTACCAAAGAACCGGCCCTATTGTTCAATCAAATTAGTCTAAAATTCACAACTAGGGATACAATTCATTTCTTCGACATACCAGAATGCTGTTGTAGTATCGGGCTCATACATGTACAGGAGGCCTGATGCGACTGTGGTGATCACTGCACAAACCATCATTTGCGGGACGTAATACCCAATATGAGACGTCTGTAACTGCTGTTAGACACATATGCTCATTGCTCACTTTCCTGGGTGTGTTGGGAAGGTTGCGTGTGTCTTGGATGGATACTCACCAAAGCACCAGCTGCAAAGGATGCAGCAATCATTGGACCGAGCGCCGCAAGAAAGTTGATACCCGACTGCTCGGCCGTGGTGTCTTTCACGACTTGAAACCAGATGGGTCCGTAGTATGAAACTACAAACATGGAGCTGCAAGTACATAACGAGAAGAGTAGCCCAAAGCCCACCGATCGCTGGCGGACTATGCGAGCGGGTAAAGTGGCATTGTCGCCTTTGGCGTACTGGATATAGATCCAGGCGATAAGGAGAACGCCAAAGAGGCATAGGCAAAGAATGACTCTCCAGTTGCTCCAAGTGTATGTCGTTCCACCCCACTGGAGGGCAAGGAGGAGGCAAACCAAGAATGGCATCAGACATAGACTGCCAATGAGGTCTAATTTATTGAGAAACTCCTTGATGTTCCCAATGGAACGTTTCTCATCATTCGGAAGCTTCAGGAAGAAGAAAACGGTAAGTGCGGTCGCTGCTCCAAGGGGGAGGTTGATCCAGAAACACCATCGCCAAGTAAGTCGGTCTGTGAACACGCCTATAGAGAAGGTAAATGAGCATCGAAAATTGCAAGGAAGTAACAAAGACCAAGCAACAGGGACTAACCTCCAAGAGTGGGAGCGATCATTTGGGAAATACCACTACAGGCCCCGATTGCACCGGTGAAAACGGGTCTTTTCTCTAGAGGAAGGCTCTTCGCGACTATCACGAAGAAGCCCGACATGAGCCCAGCAGCGCCAATGCCAGCAACAGCTCTGCCGATGACGAGGGCTACCGAGTTTGGTGCTGCGGCACAAACAACCGAGCCTACCTCGAAGATGCCAAGCGCGACAAGAAACACCCATGTTATGTTAAGCTCCGCGTACAGTTTTCCAAATAACAGTTGGAAGCAGCAGGTGGTGAGGAGAAAAGCCGAACCATACCAGGCTACATCATTCAACGAGTTGAATTCAGCTGTAATCTTGGGGACTGCGGTGGCCACTATCGATCGGTCCTAAGTAGAGATCGAGGAGTTAGATAGGCAGCCGAGAGGTCTTCCGAGAATGCAGACACTCACCAAACCAACACAAAAAGCGCATAATGCAAGTCCAATAGCCACGAACAACAACGGTAGGCCACTCAAATATTCGGTTGCTTTCTCAGGATCTGCTTCGGCATTCGGGGTTGGGGCGGACGTCGTCATCTCGTACTGTGCCGTCTCATCTGAAGAATCTCTCCGTGGTATTCCCCCGTTGATCTCACGCTGAGATGCACCTGATTCCAATGATTTTTTCATAATTAGACGAGTTCAATTCGAGGAGAGCCAGTTTGCAATGATGGAAAGAGGTAAGAAATCTTGCCGGGTTATCGGTGCGGCAGCCACATCTTTATTTATCTGCCCTTGAAACGTACGGTCATTGGGAAATCACATTGTAGCTTGATTCAATGCATACGGGGCCATATTGATTCCGTCCGCGGACAGGTTACGTATGTTCTCATACCTCTGATGATTCTCAACGGCCGGACGGAAGTCTTTATAACATCCGGCATAGACAAGAATCCACTTCGACTGGCTTTTTATTGGTTCGGAGATGTAATGAGATTGCCTGCACCCACTTTTCGGGATTAAATTGCCCCCGTCCGATTCTTACGAGCCTCATAAACATCCCTCATCCAACATTTCACGGGCTCGGGCTTTCTTTGATGCCCTACCAAAGGGAAAGAATTTCGCCAAGAAAATAGATCCGAAATGGACGGCAATATCGGCGATCAATCGGACAATTTACTACGGCCACGAGCTTGCGAGCGCTGTGCTCGTTCCAAAGCAAAATGCGTTTGGACAGATCGGGAGAAAGACGGGATGAAAGTCTGCGAAAGGTAATGCCGTTGTTTTTTCCTTGAGTATCTATTTTATGATGAAAGCAATAACTTATAATTGTAATAGATGTTTCAAGGGGCATCTTACATGCATCGCCCCTCCACCTGGAACAAGAAAGGCGCGAGGGAAATCGACGTGAGTGGCCTCTCGGCAACAGGAGAAATATACACAGATGATCTGCTGCTAATCTCATCAAAGGCGGGTGAAAGCCATCGAGACGAAGTTAGAAGGCATTATGTCACTTCTTGGTGAGCATAAGGATTTGTTGCAACATGTGAACAAAACCTCCGGCCCCTCCGGTTCTCAACCCCAGGCCGCCGCTCCTCGACCGCCAACCAGCGACTGGAATATCCCAAGGTTGGAGAACCATCGTATTCCGGTAACCCAGCCAACGTTGCCGTCGTCGTTCACACAACAACTCAACTCTAGAGAGACACAGAAGTTTGAGATTGTATCTGGGTACGAGATGTCATTTGACGAGGCCGATCAGGTGCTCCAAGAGTACATGATAATGATGCTTCCCCAATTTCCGTTTGTTCCGCTGGAGACGACCGACGTATTTCAGTTATCGCGGGAGAAGCCGCTGCTGCTGAAAACGCTATTGTTTGTTTGTCGTCCTTCTGACTCGCAATCAAGAACGAATTTCGATGAATGGTTTAGACAACATATTGCCCACCAGATCGTGGTGCTGAACAGGAAGAGTATTGAACTAATACAAGCAATCATGATTTTTCTTGCTTGGTGAGTGCTTTTCACGGAATACATGGGCAACAGTCGAATATTGACAAATACCCCCAGGAGAGATTTCCGACACTTCATTGATGGCCTTCACACAAGTCTGATGCAGCTTGCGGTAGGCCTCATCGGCGAAATGAGGCTAGACAGATGCCCTCAGTTGCCCAAAAAGCTGATAAACTCGATAGTCGAGGACGTGGAGATGCTAGGCTTCGACGTTCCAGTGCAAGAAGGGCCTCTCAACATCGGCAGAAGGACGGCGCTTGGAATATTCTATATTGCAACCTCGTGCGTATATGAAGCCCTAGACCAACCACGATTCTAACCACGCTATTATCTACACTAGGGCTTCACTTCTCCTAAGCAAATCGTCTTGCATGAGATACAACGAGACCTTCGAAAGATTTTGCCAAGTACTGCTTCACGATCGAGAATATCCCACAGATGCGCTTCTTGTTCAACTCGTCAAGATTCAAATAGTAGCCTCAAAGTTGATCACTTCATATACAAATTCTGCCGGGGATGGAATCTACGAGCTTAGTTTTCACTCGATGACTACTTCGTTAGTTCGTAAAGAACTGGACGATTTCACATCTCAGTTACAGCCAGAACTTGTATCCAATCGTAAGTAAAGCCATTAATGGAATCATTGAGATGCATTAACCTAATCTTATCACCTACGCTGCAAGATCTCATACGAAGCCATAAACAGGCCATCTTGGTTCGATTATATGAACCTGCGATCCATTCGGAACCTCTGAAATGGCCATATGCATCATTGTCAAGAACTGAAGGAATTTGGAATTGTTTTCAAAACGCTATAACACTATGTTTTAGTTTCATGGAGACACCGCACGACGTCATCTCCTGCCTTACTTTTCCATACACTGCTCATCTAACTATGGGCCTCATTAAGATTATCAAGCTTCTTCGAATTACAGGTGATCGCGATTGGGACGCGAGGGTGGCGGAAAAGGAAGTCAATATTGAGGACCTAATACAGCGGCTCAGTGATTTTTTCAGAGCCGGCAGCTTGGTCATGGGGCCGAGACGAAGAATCATCGACCAAAGCCAAGACATTCTGGCCCAGTACGCGGATAGGCTGGGAATGCTGAAAATGTGGTGTTCTTTATATTTAAGCGGGAACGCCATGAACCCGGTTGGGTCTGGGGAACAGATGACTGACAGCAATATAAACTTTGGATTGGAGGGAAATTTGGCCTTCTGGCAGATGTTTGTGGATGGGACTTCTTGACAGTTTATCGCGGTGGGACGAAAACATGGGAGGATCTTTGATACCGTGTATAGGTTTACAAAATAATGCTAATTTACTATTATCTGAGTATACCATATGAATAAGGAGAGATTAATCAATCCGGAAGGGTCTGGTAGTATGTTCCGGTGTAGGGGGTTATGCTGCAAGACTAATTCATGTTGTCTTCATGACCTTGACGAACTCCTCATCTGCAATTTATCTTAGTATTAAAATTTGCGAGAACCGAAGAGATACTCACAGCTGATATGCCCGTCGTCATCCTCATCCGCGGCCTGAAGCATCTCATTCAAATCTGCCTCGCTAACTCCCTTGGCGAGTACTGCCATGGCTTCGCGCAATTCTTCCTTCGAGACCCGTCCGTCGCCGTTGCGATCCAGCATCTGGGGTTCTTTAGAAGAAAAGTCAAGAGCGCAAATAAAATATTCGGGATGAATGGCATTATCCTACCACGAAAACATCCCAAAGCTCATCCTCAGGGTTGGTTGGCTTGATCTTGTCTGACATTAAACGGACGAAATCTATCTTGCGTCGTCAGCATTTGCCAATCACCGCTCGAATTTCCGTCTCGGGTTATCATACCGGAGAATTCTAGCGCGCCATTGTTGTCTAAATCGGCTTCGTCGATAATGGTTTGTAGCTCAGAGTCGGTAGGGTTTTGGCCGAGAGCTCTCATAACTTCGCCAAGTTCCGCCGCCGTGATTTGTCCTGGATAATTGGGTGTCGGGAACCTCATCATTCGAGTTGAAGTATAATAGAATGTCACATACCGTCTTTATCTGTATCCTGGATATGTAACTAGATTAGCGAACAAATCAAGTCCAAGTTCATCGCAGGAGCACTCACGAAAAGGTCGAAGATTTCCTTCAGGTCAGTGACCTGCTTTTCGTTTATGCCGTCGAGTGCCTGGTAAGCGGAGACCGCCATTAGAGCTCGCCGCAGACGTTGTAGGGTCACATTGGGTGCCTTACCATAGTGAGGATGGGTACCAAAGTCCGCTCTTCGAACTTATAGGCCTGATAATCCTGCTAGGCTTCGTGTAGGGAGTCTTTTGCGTGAATTCCTGATGCAATTCTACGTTGAATGAGGGAAATTAACATCGAGGCAGTACTTATGATTCGCGAACGAAAGTTGTAGGCAGGCCTTCTCCGCTTTAAGGCGACCAAAGGAAGACGAGGCGACAATTAGGCGACCAAGGTGAGACAACCCCCTCCCAATCATTGCTCCGCGAGGATGGAATCAGCCAGAACCCGCCATGTGAGTTTCTGGGCCAATGGATCATGGCTACGCACCAAATCGGCGATGGGTATCAACAGGGGTTGTTGGTATCACAGCCCTTGAGCGTCGCACAACTGCACGTCCATATGCTATGCTATTGTGTCCCATGCTTAGGGGCACTCTTGGAGCAAGCATCTCCGATGAAATGCAGGGAAGGGAAAGAGGGCTTGGTGCTATGGGTAGTAGTAGTTCTATAATTGAAAGATTTATTAGAACAAGGAATCTGGTCTGTCGAAATACGTTGCTGGAGTCCCACGTGCTATAATTAGTATTTAGCGAAACAAAAATCCATGACTAGGTAGGATCCAAAACAAAAAGACGAAGCTCGAAGGTAAATAGAAAATAAGTGACAAGATAAAACGAGTTTGAATCCAAGCCCGACCTGGCGCCCTGCATCGTGCGGCAGTTTCCAAACGAAAAGATGAAGAATTGGGAAGAAGAACGAGGGATTATTTTGAGAGGGTGACTTGATTTATATTGGACTACATGTCAGACTTTCAGCTCACCAATATTGACGCTTGGCGCCATCAATCGTGGCTGTGCCAAATCTTGTAGTCGAAAGAGGAGAAGATCATGAGCTGGCTGATGACAAATAGAGGGGAAAATTCTCACTGAGGTCCAAATACAGCCAATAGTATCATTTCACACAGGTTCGGAGTGCTATGGTTTGGAGGATTGGTAGCTGTATAGTCGATAAGAGATGACCAACAAGTTCATCGGCCAGTTGGAATTGAACTCTCTTATTTTATTTTAACCCATCTATAACGTTTACATGCCATTTCATATTGCTATGTCAGAAATGGTCGCTTATTTTATTAGCAAAGAGACGACAGGTTGGAAGAGTGTTTGCACGGCGGACCACGCTCTTGGCGAAGATCGCATACGATCTGAATGGCATGGCCAAAGACGGGTTCCAGGCCTTGGTCGGATACAAATCGTGGATACAGGCGATTGTGTTGCATATTTAAAACTTACAGGAAGTAAGAATCAGGCTTGGTGGTAATCCCTTGCTGGAGTTAAGTTATGCGGCTGGAAGTAGGGAGTCTGTAATCCATTCTTAGGTCTTTATGAATTCCCTTGTTTGCCGTACACTTGGTAGAGTAAACACATGGCGCCGATCGACAATTCTTACAAATATGCTGCGGCACCATTCGAAGCTTGATATTAATCATCCCCTGGAGGCTTCTGGCCCAGATGCCTCTTGTTGGATCCGCCCTCGCGCAAGGTGTCTTTATCACTGTGAATCCTAGTAAAGATACCTCCCGAGATTTGAATAAAGGGAGGCAGGAGCGATTGGCTTGATACATAAGGGGTCAGCCAAGAAAGCGGGTTATTGCGTGACGGCAACACAACACACACACAACAAGATTAAATACACACACGTTATTGACCCAAATACACACTTATTATTAGCCGTATTCGTTTGAATCCAACACCTCTTCCATAAGGCTTAGTCCATTCATATATGATACTTCTATCTAAATCAGGCTTGAAATAAAAACAATCCTCCAGTAGCCTCCGGAATTATTTTATTAGTCGTGAGCGTGATGCAGAAATTGCAATCAGCCATTCCTAATGTCCTGGAAACCGTTAAGATACCTACTCTATTGTGCTAACTGGCTTAGGCCTATCTACTCAATTTTTTGTCCATCTCGATTCTCCATTTTGCTCCATATCGAGCAATCAACCATATCCCAAGGCCAGACGAGAGCATCAATGCTGCCACAATAGTCATTGTCCAGCCTACCCCGATAGCATCCATCCAAGGAATGGTTACTAATGAGCCAGCAAATGACAGCATGTTGCGGCAGAAGTTGTTAATAGCGACCCCAGATGCTGATCTTCCTGGCATAAACTCCGTGAGCATTGTAGTGGTTATCGACAGCAGTAGGAAACTGGTGACCCCGAGAAAGAAGGGTGGTACAAGCTCGATCAACAATGTCAGCAAGGAATTGAAATTCGATGGCCTTTGAACTCACCACTACTGGCCAGAATAGTCTGTAATGGGCCGCCCAACCATACCATATCGCGGCTGCTGGATAACCTAGAACTCCACACCAGGCATTCTCCCGCATACGATCTTCGGGGAGGTAGATGAGTTTTCCATTTCCATCATATCTGGCATTTTTCTCGGCTCGCTTTCGCATAATCTTATCCATCCATCTCCCTCCAAAGAGACTAGCGACAATGTAGCCGATGGAGGCAGGGGTGTAGACGAACCCAACCATCCAGCTGGGAAATGAATATGGTGTGTTGCTAAAGATATGCTCGAGACTAACGTTGACAACATACAAGGCCCCAAAGGTAACAGAGTTGATGAGTACTGAAAGGGCAACGGCAGGGAATTGCAGGTATGCCAGCAGTTTGAAGGGATCAATGAAAAGCTCCTTAAACTTATGGCTGGAGTAAATCGCCCCTGAAACAGCTAGCTGGAGCAGCTCTCGACGCGGTTGGTTATCAGTGCCTTCCATTTCGGACTCACTTACCTCCACTACTGTCCTTTTGGGAGAAGTTTCCGGAAGCCCAAGCAACACAAGAATTGTCATGAGAACTGAAATGGTCAGCAAGGTCCTGTGAAGATACTCAAGCCTTAGTCGAACATTCGGAAAACCTCAACAGTATACTCACCCCCATAGATAGTAAGAAACCACTGCGTGCTAGCCCAACCAAATTTGTCGCTGAGGGCACCGCCTAGAATCGGGGCCAGCAAAGGTCCGCAGAGAGGTCCAAGGAAGAAGTACCCCATCGCCGTGCCTCTCTCTTCTGGCACCCAGATATCTGCGATGGTCCCTGCGCCGACCGACATTGCCGCCGATGATGCACCCCCTGTAAAGAACCTCATCGCGAGGAAAATGCCGATTGAAGGCGAAATGGCGGACATAGCACTGAAAAAGGCCATGCCTATGTTGGAGATAACATAGACCGTTCTCCTTCCAACCAATTCAGACGCAGATGACCACCACAGAGGAAACAGGGCCATGGCAAGCATATAAATTCCAACTGACATACTTGATATGAACGCTGTGGTTTCATATGCTTCTGCTATTGGAGTAAGTGCAGCTGGAAAATGGTGAGCATGTGATGAACCATGGCAAAACTCCACTCTCCAACTCCCCTTCCCAATGACTTACGCAGTGTTATGGCGCTTCCGAAAGGGCTTACGGCTCCAATAAGAGATATAATAGCAGTAATTGTCCATTTTTTTCTCCTGGGCATCTTGGTGGGTATGTCGACCTCTTCCAGCAGCGCGAGCCAGGCTAAAATGCCTCGTCGTTCATTTTTCGGAATAACAACCGGTGAGAGATCCTCCAGATGTATAGATGGTGCAGTATCATTTGTTAGTTTCTCTTCCCCATTATTTACTGTCGTTAATTCCGTGGTTTGAGGGATCTCATCCGCCGTACGAAGGATCATGTTGGGTTCTCGGTCTTGCATGACGGTTGCACGTTCTCCTTCGGCACCAACAAAATTGCGGAAATTGAATCAGCACCAGCCAAGAGCAACTCCGACCCCACCTACCTAGGAAAAGAGATAGTGAATGGATAAAATTTCCATTTGCGATACCCTCGAATTATAGCCGCGGCAATAATGTCGTATGTGGCCCTACGGGGTGTGGGTATGCCCCGCCCTACCCTGGGTTTGAACACTCTTTAGGAGACACATACTGAAGTACAATGGTAAGTCAAGATGGCATTTGAATATATTGTGCTTCTAATGAGAACTTAGAATCCATTAAGACACGACATGATTCCCCATTGAACTTCTGTTGTTGATAACTCTCAGGGCATCGTCGGATCGTGGGGTAACTGGATCCATATAAGATGTAAAATTGGCTATTTCCGGCTCTAAGTTCTAGGCATTGCAGGCCCAGAAGAAAGGCGTACAAAAGGGCGTATAGACAGGAAGCGAATACGCCCAACCTAACGACAGCGTGATGGATGACCCCTGAACCCAAGTTCACCTTTTCAATTACGAAAAACACTATCGGACATTGCTTGTTAGGTCTAAAAATTTAATGGAGAGTGCGATCGCTTGGGATCTGAAGAGAGAATTCGAGCGTGAGCACCGCCGTGGAATCGTACAAGTGCTTACGCCGCGACGGGAATAACGCATGGGTGACTTTGCTGTGAAGAACCCTTAGAATGTTTGCAAGACGCTGTGACTAGAAGCAGAGTGATATTAGATGGTAAATCTCCGAGGCTGATACTTTCTTGTATAAGGCAATCTTTCAGGATCAAAATGGTTCGGGGTTATCGCTCTTTCAAGTTTCAAGCTGCCTTCGGTGAATACTGGAAAGGGTCGTGAGCAGGGCTGACCTCGGGGATTGCAATTTTGACGAGCACTAGCTGTCAATCAGTGGACGCAGCATGTGGAGTCATCATCAATATGGATTTGCTTCCGAGATCAAGGGTCTTGGTGAGCTCGCGAGCCCGCGAAAGTCAACGTGCGGACATGGATCGAGACGCGAACGCCGAGAATCGTGTGGAACGGTGTGTCAACCTTAACTTCGGCGCCCTTTCCGATAAGCCTCAAGTGAGTCAACTCGCCGGTGCTGTTGGGAGCCTTGTGAGTCCAACGTGCCGGTCTCCCGCCCAGCACTAGGTGGCATATAAGCGCTACAGAACACGCGGATGTGCCGTCCGAGCCGAGCCCAGTAAGGCATGGCCTCATACATAATCAATATCATTTAATAACGTCGGCGTGTGGTTGGTTGACGTCACTAGAGATCTTCGGTTCGCTTGCCTTCTCCGAACAAGATTCGCCGCTTGCTGCCAATCAGATTGCTCCTACCCACCGTTAGGACCGTTCAGTCCATAATCTTGGTCAGTTGATTAGGAAGCAGATAAATTGAGTTTACATAATATCCAGTTAAGTCCGAGTGTAGTTTGTGTGGCGGATTGCGCGGGGATAATCTACTACCTTGTCCTCGGGGCTACTACTCGCTGATTGATAATGTTGGATCACCCCTGCGCAAAAAATAATTGTATTTATTCTATGACGAGTTGCTCAAGGCGCATCGCTCTATGAACAGAGGACATTCAAGTTCTTGACCTTGTGGGCACGTCGCTGAACCACCGACCGTGTCGACTCCTGATATCTCCTGTATCGAATTCCGTACACCTCTGCCGCTTCTATGTCAACATGGCGGCCGCTATCGAGCGAGTCCTGTCAAGGGCTGTGAACAAACCCTACCGGACGAAGGATCTCGATCTCACCAGTCCTCCGCAACTGAACGAATCGGGCCATATTGAATTTGCTCCGGGCGACATCGAAAACCCCAAGAACTGGAGCACCGGTCGTCGCACTGCTGTCACAGTAGCTTCGGTCATACTCGTTATGAACGCAACGATGGCATCTTCCTCCCCCAGCGGTTGTATTCAATCCATCTCCCAACACTTCAACGTCTCTGCAGAAGCCGCTGGTCTCACAATCACCTTGTTTTTGCTGGGCTACTGCGCCGGACCCCTAGTTTTTGCTCCCCTCAGTGAATTCTACGGCCGCCGGTGGATTTTCTATATCACATTCTCTCTATACCTGATTTTCAACTTTCTCTGTGCCTTCGCGCCAAACTTCGGCGCTCTTCTCGTTGGGAGATTTCTCACTGGCACATTCGTATCAGCACCATTATCCAATGCCCCCGGAGTCCTGGCAGATGTGTGGAACCCTTTGGAAAGAGGAAACGCAATGGCTGGTACGTTTTAGCGTTCCGCATGATGATGTTTTAGTCCGCTGACGTGAGAACCTTTGCACAGGCTTCTCCACCTTGGTCTATGTTGGCCCTGCCCTCGGCCCTGTTGTTGCAGGATTTCTGCAGCTGACAAAAGATTGGCGATGGAGTTTTTATGTCCTTCTTTGGCTCGGCGCTGCGAGCGGCTTGCTAATGCTTACCATACCCGAGACGTACGCACCTGTTATCCTGGCTAAGAAGGCTCAGAGGATTAGGGCTGCAAAGATTCCCGGCTACGAAAACGTGAGGGCTCCGCTCGAGGATGACCAACGAACACTCGCGAGTGTGTACAAAGTTGCCCTCACACGACCCTGGATCATCCTATTCGACCCGATATCTTTTCTGTGTGCCATTTACATGGCAGTTGTATACACGCTATTGTACATGCTGTTTACCATCTACCCCATTGTCTTCCAAGAAAAGAGAGGTTGGAACTCTGGAGTGGGAGAGCTTCCTTTGACTGGTACGGTTGTCGGTGCCGCCCTCGGTGGCCTGATAGTTCTTTATGATACACGCCGCCGCCAGAAGAGAATTGATCGTGGTGAGATTAAAATGGAAGAAATGGAACCCGAAGAGCGACTGGGACTAGCAATGATTGGAGGCATTGCTTTCCCCATTACTATGTTCTGGTTTGCTTGGACAGCAAATTTCGAGTAAGTCAACCTATCCGCTACCACTATGACTGCCCATTGAATGAACGAACTGACATCTGTGATTCTCCAGTTCAATCCACTGGATCGTCCCTACAATTGCCGGTTCAGTTCTTGCTGGCTCACTGCTACTTATTTTTGTGGCCTATCTCAATTATCTCGTGGACACATATCTCATGTACGCCGCATCAGCCGTGGCTGCAAATACCATCATGAGGTCGGCCTGCGGAGCAGCGGCACCTCTCTTCACCAAACAGATGTTTGATGCCCTCGGTGTTGGAGGCGGTGGCAGTCTAATCGGCGGAGTTGCTACCCTTCTAGCTATCATCCCGTTTACCTTCTACAAGTACGGAAAAGCGATCCGAGTCCGCAGCAGATTTGCACCTACAAAGGTGAAGAAGGAAATGGCCCAGCGCGACGAAGAGGCTGTGAGGCCCGAAGACGGGGTACTGAACGGCGATGGAGGCTCTACGACGGAAAACGGAGGCGACCCGAGTGTCAGAATTAAGGATGAGACATCGTAATACGAATGGATAGACACTGTAAAGATATTGGAAAAGCACACTTGTATCTAGATTTCATATTTTCTTCTCCTCTTTTAGAATAAATTCATCATTCACCTCCAAATACTGAAGCTACCTCTAGTTCATGGAATGGTCTTGTATTACTACTATTACCGCACAGCTTTCATGCCAAACTCTTTAGGCTCATCTACGTACAGCATCGTGTCTTGAACTCGTTGAAAATAGCAGGAATGTTATGAACCTGAAGAAGAACACGACTATGCCCTAGGAGACCTACGTTGATAATGCGGTCAAAGTTCCCCTATAATCTGAGGCATGAAGGGGAAAAAAGCTAGAATAATCCAAACAGCTAGAAGGAAACATTTTTTTGGACCACATGCGACTTGTCCACCTGACATAGCTATAAAGTACACGGTAGCCCAATTGAAATAGATGGTGTGAAAGTAAAAGGAGGCTGCAACACAAGTTCACAAGCGCAGTATAATCATAGATTCTTCTTTGACAGACTAAAGGGCGCGATACAGCATCTACGCAGCGGCTTGAAAATCAACACGACCGTCCTCATCGACGACTCCAACCCTGTGATAGTAATTTCTTGCGCGTAGATAGGGGTCAAGCCGCCAATAATTTTGCCGCAATTCATCAGCAACGCGATCGCGAAGAGCTTGTTTTTCTTTGGCAGCGTCAGATAAAGGGTCATACGCTATCCATTCCAAAGTGAGCCGTTCAAACTCAAATGCGAGCTTATCTCTCTCTCCGTGAATCATATCTCTCTCTTCAACCTGATCCATGCGGTCATTCTCCCCAGGAATGGGATCGATATACTTGTACTCCCACACGTCATCTCCTCCTAATTCACTGGAGAGGTTTTCGGTAGTGGTAAATCGCTCCAGGTCATCCTTGGTGCGCGTAAAATGAATCTTATTTGCGACAACTGGGTCCATCCAGCCTTTCACAGCTTTCCAAACCCCTAGGTAACCACAGAGCTGGTGAGCCAATCAAACTTCCAGAAATGCCATGGAACTTTGATGATTTCAACTTACCCCAAAAGACAAACGGGGCGTTATGGATCAAAACGACTCCCAAGGTTTCAGGATACCTCGCTTCAAAAACAGTGGTAAGGAATTTGAATACATGCAAATCCACATTCCGCAATCCAAAACCGGTCATATCGAAGATAATGCAAGCCTTGTCACTGGAAGGCTTGACCAACATGCGTATGCTCTCAAATGTGTGGAGAATGTACATTTCCAAGGACTTGCTTGGTTGCTTGTGCGGATCATGCAGCCGGACTTTAACGGTGAAGACCGGGCGGCCCTCCCGGTCAACACCTCTGACGAAGCTCTTTCCAGTCCGGTACTGGTCAATGAAACCCTTCTCCTCGGGGGATGGCGATTTCTTCAAGCCAACCGCCTCCCCTTGTTGTACAATGTCCTCTTCAATACGTGTCTCCTGGCGCCAACTCACAGCGGACACGAGCATAGCCACGCCCTTCTCGACGTCCCATTTGCGTGCATGGAGGAATCGAAGGACGAGGGCGTCCGGATGTTCAATGCAAATGCACCGCCACAGGAACTTGCTAAAGTCACCAAGAGTGGTTGGGTTGAGATGACGCATAAACTCTCTAGAATTTTCAGGGGTATCCAGCAGATTGCCCTCAATGAGTGGCTTGGAAGCGCTGGAAGGGCCGAGGCGAATCAGATAGACCCAAGCCTGCTGCAACTTACGCTGTTCTAAGGGCGTTAGATGGCCTACGCACCCTGAAATTTCTCGCATGATTGGAGGATTGGCAAGGGGGTGCTTGGTAGATCGTACGGCAAAGCTAGGCCAGTTTGAGGGGCGGGAACAGGCCAACACTTCCACTCAGTTGGTTGGTCGAGTGAGTATTCTAAGAGATCATAAGAGAGTTATAGTCAAACTCATCCATATCATCAATTCTATAAAGCAACTGTCACCATTTCGAGTTCTTGTATTCATTTCACAAGTACTCCTTATTGCCGATAGTCAATGATCGAAGCCGTAGCTGAGATGCCTCGGAAGATTATGTAGCATTAGTGGGGTAATGCAAGATGGTGTTCACCTCGTGATGGGCCTTAGGGTGTTCACAGGGGTTACTATCCGCTTCTGACGCTCCCTACCTACCAGGCGTAAAATCAGAGGGCTATATATCCGACGGGCACTAGAGAGAGATAGAGCGCGGATCATTTGACCTAGGGACAGAACTCAGGATGGAGCCCATTCATTATATTCGGACCATTCCGATTCATGCAAGGCAACCCATTCGAGCCAACGCAAGTCAGCGGGTTGTTATGCGTCCGTGCTGAACTTCGATATATCAAGGATATCCTGGCGTGGCTAGGCCTACCATCCTCTCAACACGAGCGGTTCGTCAGCCAACGATGCTTGGGGTCTAAAAGCCTCACCGCAAAGCCTGGTTGCGCCCGTATGGTTTGTCCCATGATCCAAAGTGTGGGATCTTATTTGCCCGTCCCCCTCAGGCCTCCCTCCCTTCCTCCACTCCTCATTTTCTCTATCAGTAGTTATTAGTGAATACCTCGGGAAGTAGTATAATGGTTGCCCCCCCGCATTCCCAAGAATAGAAACCTCCTCATGGCACGCATATTGTTGTACTGGAAGGCTTTCTGGGGCCTCAACGCCAAGAGGTTACATCGCGATATCGACCCTAACCCCACATGGTCCTGCTCCCAATGTTGTGGTTGGGTGCATGGTGCCACAGACAATACGAGGAGGATTGCAGATTTACTTCAATGCTCAGAGTCAAAAATATGCAGAATCAATTATTGTTGGTGGCTCATTACTGACACAAACGTCGGGATTGATCCGCTCGTCCGTGACCAGTTTGCTGTAAGGAGAGTAGTCTGTCTAATCTAATGCTGATTATGTCGTAATATCGCGTCCATTCTTAGAAATCCCAATACAAATAAATCATAAATCGTACCATATGCAATTCCACACGCAGATCCATAGTGCCATGCCATGCTCCAGGTGCAAATGACCCTTAGAATAAGCCAGCACTCGTTAGGCTCTAGGCAGCCTCGGTAACGACCTCGACGACGAACTCGGCCTCACGAGTCTGAAGAGATTCAATCCACCGGCGGGGGAGAGAGGTGATTCCTCCTATCGCGCGAGTAGATCGCTCCGTTTGGGTGTCATCTTCAGATTGTGTTGTATCCTTTCCGGGAGCGTTCCTCCACATGCCGGGAATCTGAGGGAGGACCTTGTTGGTGTCTCCGAGGGTGGCAGAGACAAGACCAGCAGTGGCCAAGAGAGAGAGAACTGCGGATGAAACCTGGAGAAAGAACTCTGGTTAGAAGTCTCGTGAGAAGGTATAGGGAGATAATCCAATAATCACTGGGTAGCTAGAAGAGTTTTCGTACCTTCATTTTTGGGATGGTATTCAAATATTATGGTTGTGTGGTAATTGACCCAGAGGGTGAATTTTTGTTATCCGGGGACTGATGTTGATTAATTGAGAGACTGGTTGATTGATAGAAGACGATGACTTGGTGGGAATGAGATATCTTTATAGCCAGACCGATAGCAAGAATATTACTGTCCTAGTCTATTGAATCATTAACTCGAGTCTGACGACCAGCAAATTGCCAAGAAGGCCCAACAGGCCCAGCCAGAGAACCCTTAGGCATTGCTCAGTTGGTCGAGCCTACAGGCCTGAGGCCGGTTGGGATTCCTTGCTTTGAGTTACGGTCTGCAGGTGCCACGCATGTTTGGTGTTTCAGGTTAAGAAATACGAAGAGAGGGGGCCAAATATTGATCCCTGCTCTGCACTACACACGCCGGCACTCAGCCCGTCCGCCTCGATCCATTCCTCTCTTGCCTGAACCAGCATACGGTGGAACCATCGAGTGAATAGCCTGGATTGGGACCAGCATGCTTTGTTTCTATTCTTTGCCGTGATGTGCTGGCGCCAGTGGAGACATTCCAGGGCTCGAAGGTCAGCCAACTTCTCTTCTCCTCTGCTGCAGTCGAGGCGCCGCTGTTGCCCTGCCGCGCGTTTATGCGTGAATTCAGGCTCGGCATGTTCGCAAGGCACCCCCCGTGAGGTGAAAAGATGCGCATAATAATGACGAGTTATGTTGGCCATGTCAGCCACGGCGGTCAATATCACTTGTCTTTCTCGGCACAGCTACAACACACCCTCCTGACCGACCTTTGCTCACCTTCTGTGGCCAGTTTTTTGCCGCCTCGACCGAAAGAGCCATCATTCGCCGACTGACCGTTGCAATGATGCTCCGCCCGGAGAGATGGGGCACTCCGGGCTCACTTGTGCCTGCAGTTGCTACAGGTCTCTTGTTGTGGTCTACCTTCTACTCGATCTCCAAGCCAAATCCTCGCCGCCATGTAACAATCCCATTGGCAGCCGCCTTCACTATCATTGCGGCCCTCAACGCACGCAACTTCTCCTCTAACGACGTCGTCAATTCCATATTTGCCAGATTTGTCATCATCTATTTCTCTCACTGTCTCTTCATTTTTGGCTTTGTCTCCAGCTCTGAGCTCGAAGACGAGCGGAAGAGATGGTTAATCACCAGATCCATGAGACCTAGGGGGGCGCATAGCACAGTTATTGACGACGAACAACTGCCGAAAAATATGCCAGGGTGTTCAGATTATGTCTTTTCCTACAAATTTCTACTGAACCCTCTCTGTTTCGGGACTAAGTGGGAAGTTCCGCTTAGAGAGGACAGAGGAGACGGAGGAGGTTCACTGGCAAATTTCGCCCACAAAAGCAGGAACATCACTTCAGCAAGCCACTTGAAACAGACTTCATTTCCGTCGAAAACCAGCGACAAGACATTGCAGAAACCTAAGTCCCGTACAATGTTCATTCTGTGGCGCCTCTTCACATTATTTTGTCGCTATCTTGCCCTGTGTATCTACTTCGATCGCGACTTGTTCTTTTGGATGCCAGGAGGGATTGGCGAAAACAGAGATGACTATGTTCTTGGTGGTAACCATTTCTTCTTCAAAAGTCTTCCCTGTCTTCTCGTAGGCCGGTGTAGCAATGGTGCGCACATGCATGCTCAAGCTGTGCGAGCGACAGTTTTACGACTTCACTGGGTCCTGATACAAGTCGTCCCCGATTATCTTACCCTTTCCTCCTACCATGACATCTTGGCCATTATTGGTGTAGCAATTGGAGTTGATAGCCCATCCGAGTGGCCCCCTATGTATGGCAGTATTATAGAAGCATACACAGTGAGGCGATTCTGGTCCTCATTCTGGCATCTTCTCATCTACCGATCGTTTTCTACGTTTTCGCGATCCATCTTGTCTATTCTGGGTGTCAGTAGGCGCCACCCTATTAGCAGATACACGCACAACATTTTGGTGTTTTTCCTATCTGGCATCATGCACGAGATCGTGCCATGGTTGCTCACTCCAGACCAGTGCATGAAGTGCGGGTGCCATCACCAGATCTGGAGGTTCGTTCTACAGGTCTTTGGGATGATGGCAGAAGGTGCGGTTCAATTTGTATGGAGTAAGCTGGAGAGGTGGCTCTTCGGGCCTGGAGTGGTACAAGTTCGCTTGTATGTCGCTACGAAGAGATGTCTCGGATACGTGTGGGTGCTATTCTGGCTAATGTGGGTGGCCGAACAGACGTATTTTCCTTTTACATACTGTTTAGTTACGTGAATGGTGTGTTCTCCATTGCTCTTGGTCATAAGTGAATTGAAATGCTGATGGGATCTGAGTTTATTATTGAGCAATATGGTTTGAAATCTGGCTGGGATAGGAGTAACTCAGTCTGGAGCCCTGTCAACAACATCGCCGTCTGTTTCAACAAACAAGTAGTGCATATGAAACATGCCGCCTCGCGGTGAATAGAGAATAGTTGGCATACAACCCTCACTCGCTGCTCAGCTTGTCATGGATAGCAAGAGCAATGAACGCAGCGGCCGCACCCAGAAAGAATCCCATGTTGAAATCATCGATGATAGACAGCAAGAGGCAGGCCCCACCAATCAAAGACAGGAAGAATATGAGCACTCCTCGCAGCGAAGGCCGGAGTGATAACGAATGTAGCTGTGCCTCATTCCTCCGTTCGCCTTCGTCCAACAGAGGAGTGACCTGATTAGCCTCGACGTCTGCCGCCATCGAAGGCCAACTGTCGGACGGACTCAGGCCAGAAAAGTCCGTAGAGTTATCGCAAAATTAAAGAATTAACGATTATTCGATTTTGGAGGTGTACAAATATTTTCTGCCAAAGTTCAGCATGGGATCTGCCAGGTCCGAACCATAGCCCAATCCAGGGCGACTTACTCAATATCGGCCTGCAGCAAGTAGATCACGTCGCAAGTGCTTGGTCTGACGTAGGCCCGTAGAGTGTTTTCCCATTTTTCGGAGTCCAGTGAGTGTTCGAAATGAAAAAAATGGGCAGCCTTGCGATGCCTTTCTCCGAATCAATACGGGGGCTGTGCTCTTCACACGTGACCGGCGCACAGCTCATCCACCAACCAGACTGAGGCAAAGGTGGGATCAAACCCTACAAGAAGAGACAGGCCTTTGTTACTTTGAAAAGCATATATAGATACTTTGTTTCCATTCAAATCTTCCACCTAGTCTTTCCCTCCCTTTGGCGCAGCCTTGCAACGATATATGTGTGCATGTAGGAACTACATATAGCAAACCCAGCTCGTATTACAAGTTAATGTCGCTCCTTTTAAAGGTCTCTTACAAATTCCGTTCAGGCAGATTTTCTTCACTCTTACTTCGAAGTACCTCGCCATTATACTAGGGAGAAGTTCAAGAACTCCGATAGCAGGCATAGTCCTGGAATAGGGATCTCACACATAGAGGGAAAATGTACTTGAGAAAAGCAAGGCACGATTCAAGGTGTCTTATCCATGAAAAGTAGAACTTGATGGCAATAAACTCACCCGTTCCGATACTTCTAGCACCTACTGCAAGTTAAGTTGAACATTCCCCCTCTACGTAAGGACGTATTGAAAGTTTCACGTCTTAGCTCTCGATAGCAGGGAGTCTACATGATATCAGACAAGGTATATCGCCGCATTTCGGTTAGTTGAGAAAAATGAAGATGGGAAGGGTGAGTGTTCTATGAAAATGGAGGGCCATTCACAAACCTTTTGACATAGTTTCTCTTGGAGTATCTATGTAAATGTTCGGCATAAATTGTATCTTTGCGAGTAGCAATGAAATGAGAAATCCAGTAAAGAATGATTGCTGTAACGGAAGGGGTGTCTCAAGACTCAGCAATGCCTGAAAAGGAACTGCTCTCGGACTCCCTTCAGAAAAATGAAGGAGAAGTCTCAATGGCTTTGCACCTGGATACCTGTGAGGCATCATGCCGTTGCTTCTTTGCTCAAAGTTCATCAAAAAAGAGTACTCTGAGATGGGGTTAGTAAATTGGGGCATCATATCACGCATTCAAAGCATTCGTAAGGTGAATCCGCCGTCAGCCCTAGCAACTCAATTCCGCCGTTTTGCTAAATAATAAAAAGATGGTGAAGCATATCATTTTCCGCATCAACAGTCAACAGGTTTGGGGTATCGATCAACACTTTGACAAAAGAGACAAAAGATCAAGAAGAATCCGGATGCGGGCGGGTGCAGATCAGTCACAACACGCTTGCTCTTTCAAAAAGTCCAATACATCATCCCACATGCAAGTTCGTTGCTCATTACATCTTCACACATTGTAGGCGGGAGGAAGATCACACAGCGGGCCTCGCATGCTTCACTTGGATCGTCACATGATTTTGGACTAATATTCCCCGTTCCAGCTCACCTGGATTCCAAGGGGAAGGGTCGTTGTGTTGGCTCGTGATGGTTGTGTGGACAGGCTCTGGCCCTTTGACAGACGAAGGTTCCAGGTCTGTGATTTCGGACGCGGCGCTCTCCTCGTCGGCCAGTTGTCGAGTCGAACTTGTTTCGTTGGTGTATAGTGTCCTCCTGGGCAATCGAGGAACTCGGAGTCCTGGCAACTCATGGCCAGGTATAGCCAAACTTAAGCGGCGGCTCGTAATATTGGTTTCGCCATAGCCATTGAGAACTCGGGTCCCGAACGCGTAGCGGAAGATAGGTCGGAGCAGCGGAAAGCATGCTATGAGGAATGAAAGGTTAGAAAACGCATACTGAGAAGATAAGGTTGAGGGCAAGGATTTTGGATAGGGAGGTGATTACCGGATACAACAGCGATGTTAAGCTCAACAGCTCCCCATAGATAATTCAGCGCATAGTCGTGAGGAACCTGTTGTGAGGTTGGGTCGGAGTGAATTGATTCAACCAGCACAAATATGGATGCGATGCACACACTTGCCACTGTTAAAATACATTGCTTGCCTTTGGTATGAGAGTTTTGCTTACATTGTACCGATTGCGAACAGACCAGCAACGGCGATTTTCTGCCCAACCGGCAGTTGGAGGTTGAAGACCGGTATGACTGGCAAGACGAGGATGACAACATCCATCACAAAATGGGGAAAGACAGTCCCGAAAAAGAAACTCGAGTCTGCGATCTGACATGAGCCGCCGGGAATCGTCTTGTCCCAATATGCTGGCACGGGGGAACATCGAAAGATGACCATGAAGGTTCGTAGAATAATCCAGGCCACCACAAGCACCATCATCACAATGATAGGAATGCGGATTACCGTATGCTGAAAGATACGCCAATAGAAGCATAGAATTGTCAGCTTGGACGAGAAAATCGAAAACGCGTACGACAATGAGGCGAAGAAGGCGAGTTTTCTCGAATATTCAAGTATCTTTTCCTTTTCCGCATCACTGGTCGAATCGGGGATATATTGTCCCAACGACCAGTCGACGGTCCCTTGTTAGACAGAGAAATTAGCTCCTGCGAGATGGGTTTAGGAGGCGAGGGACGTCTCGGAGTTTGTGCAATACAGTCAATGAGGATGGAGGAATAAACACTCGCAAAAAACTGAAGAACCAACGAGTCAGTCAAGCTTTCCCCCCACTTCTAGGGGACAGCGGGAGACATCAGGACGAAGGCGGCGGGGTAACGTTAGAATCGACTTACGAGGGCTGAGATGCAAAAGTAATCCTCATAGGACCACGATTGCTTTGTCATGCGGCGTGCGATGAAGCGGCCGATGAGTGCCAGAAAAGCGGCGGCCCAGGTAACACCAATTCCAACAAAAATATTGATCACGAGCCCAGCCATGACTGTAAATTGTAGCTCGTGCCGCCCACACGGATCTTCATGGAAGGCAATCAGAGAAAAGTTTCAGTGTCGCAATCGACCTCGCGTACTTAAGGTCCACTATTCGAAGACCCTTGAAATAAGAAAGCAAAAGATAAAAGAAAAGAAGGATAAAAGAAGCCGAAAAGGAAGAAGAGGGGATCATCTATTTCAGTGTCTCCGTTATCTGAGTGTTTGTTTGGGTGTGTGTTGCACTGGCAGGGGTTAATCGTCAGCTCTGTTGCACACCACGACTGTGCCAAGCCCCGCCACTTGCAATGGGCATAATGCATGCATGGCCTGAGCTGAAAGAAAATAGTTTAGTGGCAGTCCGTTCCATTGGCCCACGCCCGGGGTTGCTGATCAGCTTATGGTGTGGTGGTTGCCTTCTCACACCTGGTGCGGGGGATGGGCACACCAAAATCCCAGAGAATGTAAGCTGCTACATTCGGGGCTGTGTATCCTGTGTATCTATACCAAGAATAGGATTAGTGTTATACAGCTCCCTCCCCACGGCTGGCCTTATCTGCAGGTGACGGCATTTTTGCACTCTCTCCCACAAAGATCGGGCACGGCCAAAGATAGGGACTTGGTTGCTAGCTCATGTGCCCATGTTCATTCAGCCCAAGCAGGAAGTTCGACTATTGAAACGCCTCAATTGAAGATCAGCAGCGAAAATTCCCAGAGCTCACCCTCCACACCACCCAAGGCGGGCGGTCCAGTCGGAAGGTGGAGTGAATTACAGTCGGCCGCGATTAAACAGAGCTGCTAATGGTTGATTGATTTGCGAACATCGGCTCACCGCCTTATCGAACTGTGAGTCAGCTAGATTTCGATTGAAAGGGTGGGCTTTCCGCACATCTGCTCCCGAGCCTGGGGTTCTACAGGCGGATCGCCTCGCCGATGAGACAGTAAGCCCGGAACCGACGATTCGTGCATGCTGAAACCTTTGCATGGGGAGCAGATATAGCGATGTTGCATCCTAGCGCCACAAACTTATACCGATGTCTTTATACCGACCTCCGTTTACTGCAGCCATGGAGAGGCCTTACCCCACGTCCAACGGATCCCCTGTGCATGAAGATGCCCAACATTTTCTTCGTATGTAGAACGAATCCGTGGATTGAAACACCGCCGTCAAATCTACCAGAAAAGAAGCCAAAGAGCGCATATCTAGGCAATTATTATTTTCGCATCATTTTCCCCTTATGGTTGGGCTGATGTTGGGCTGCCACATCCCGTTCCGTAGCTCGTCACAAATGTGGAAAACCCCAATCCCTAATTCGACATTCAGATGCGGAGGGGAATGACTTTAGAGGAGAGCCATGTGTCGATATCATAGTGTGGGCTGAAAAGAACGGGCAGTTCATCCCACCACAAAGCACTCGATAGTCTACAAATCGAGTCATTGCCAGGTCGTCAGCGCGGCTTCAGGCTACCTTGACAGCCTAATGATAGGGTACTTGAGGGTAATACATACATTCAGTGTCTAATCTGAAACATAGAAATGCAGATTGGGACCTCTCGGGCGTCATTGTGTGGCACAATAGGGGCTCAGGTCAGGACGCTTATCGCTGTGGCGAGAAATATGCACCTGATGACTTGTCACACACTTGCCAATCCTTCGCGCGAAGCCTCATTCCTCCTGTCACATGAAAAAAGGGCCAGGCTCTCAATGAGGCTGCAGCCTCACTGTTAAGGAGTATTGCACTTTCTCCAGCTGAAGGTCATTCTTCGGAACAACCCGCACCACAAAACGGAAGTTGAATGGTACGTTTTTTTACTATCTACTGCGGTCATACTATTCAAAGTTTTTGTCCTACTTCTTCTCAAATTGATTACAAATTCAGTTGGCCTGATAGTATTAGCCGCGGAGGGTATTCGAAGGATAGAATTAGTTCGACTTGGTTCGACTTGTTTGCAAACCCCAGCGGTGCATTGACATTCAACCAGGTTAATTCCTCTCCAGAAAAGCGTCATGGAGGCCCTCTGCCGAATCTTTTACTACAGCTGTCACCGTAAACAAAGTAAGCGCGATGATTGTAGTGGAAATAAAATTTTGGAATTTTTTTGCTAGCCCTGATTCCGAACCGTGTCTGGCTATTATTATTTATTGACGGCCAAACCGAATATCACTCCCAAGGCCCCTCTATCACCCAAGCACAAAGTATGCCGGGTGCAGAC